AATGCGGCGCTGTGAAGTTCGCGTTCTCGAGGGTGAAGGCCACGGCTTAATGGCTAGCGCGAGTGTAATGGGCTCTGTGCTCATGGAGATGAGTAAAGAGTGGGAGGATTGGATGAAGGTCACTGGTGCAGATGGGAGGAAAGATCGTGAGAGGGGACGACGAGGGACGCTCGTGCGATAAGAGTAATATTGTCAACATACTTGTCCGACTGGATGGTCGGTCTTGATACCCCAAAGAGACGGGCTTCATGCTTGGTTTGGTTAAGGGACCAAGGTTGGAGTATGACATCTCGTTTGTTTCTTACATAACATTAATATCGGGGACGGCCACGTCCCATGTAATGTCTTTTACATATCAACGCTTAATGATAGCTTCTCTCAATGATACCTCAACGCTTCTGCTTTAATTAAATTATCCCTCCGCGAGCATCCTCGTCCAATCAAACTTGCGCCATCCCTTCTTGAAGCCCTCCACTCTAGGATCACCCCTCATCCACCGCCCCTGCTTCTTCATAACATGCGGCTCCGCATCAACAATGCCCCCCAGGACTTCACGCGCGAAAAGATCGCCCTTTGGCCAGCGACCCGCATCTTCAACAACATGGCCCAATCCGCCATCTAGCGTAAACCACACGTGGAAATACGGCATCTCCTTCGCGATAGAACGTCTAAATGCGGAGCGGCCCATGCCGTCGCGCGCTTTTGCGCCTGTGTCGATGATCTTGCGATGCTGACTCCACTCTTCGTCAGATGACAGGAACGCCTCTTTGAAGTACGCCGGAGCCGTGGCACCTTCTTCGTAGGGTATCGGAACAGCGACCATGGCTGCGTGCATGCGCCGATGGGGCTGCGCTGCGTTTTCGTAGAATACGACCTCGCGGCCTTGTTCGTGATACATTCGTGTCAGGCTCTTCATGAAGTTGCGTATCTCCTCCCATTCATCGTCGTCACACTCTAGGAGATTCGCGCGGTGTGCGAGAGGGACAATGACGGCGCCGCCGGATGAAATCTCGGGTTCAGTCGCGAGGGTGAGAAAGGCGCGTGTTCCGAGGGCAATGACGGGTGCGAGGGGCGGTTGGTTCTTGTCTTCGTGGTGGCACAGGGGACAGTTGTCGAGAGCGCGGGACATTTTTTGGAACTCGGACACGGCCATGTTCTTGAGGTTGATGTCGGATTTGTGTAGGCGCTTGGCGAGCTTCTCGGCGTTTTCATCCATGTAATCCAGATCGTTATCGAACTTGCCATCTTTTGCGATGCGTTCCGCTAGACGGAGACCCTCACCGCCAGCTTGGTTCTTTGTGCGACGTTCCTCGCGGACCATGTCGTCAATTGTCATGTCTGTGTTCTCTTCGACGTTTCCGCGCTCGCGACCGCGTTTGTTGGTGATGGCTTTGGCTTCGTTACGTGTACCGGCGAGCTGCCGGTTGTCCATTACGCTGAGAACGACGGCTTCGGGGTCGGATTGGGCTGTGGCGAACATTGCTGCGGCTTTGTTGTATTCTTCTTCGAGCTGTGCAGCGTTCGGGGCGCGGCGGAGCTTAGCTTTCATCATTTGCGCGCGGAGCCGGTTGAGTGCGCTTTGGTCCATCACGGGAGTTGATTGAGGACGCGTGTCAGGAATAATTGTTCCTTGTTCGGGCTCGGGAGGTGGTGAATCTTTGCGCTGGTTCTTGAGCCTCTCGCGGTAGAGGTCGCCGGTTGGCTTGTCGTGGCCCTTGTAGTCTTTGCCGTAGATCTTGCGTCGTTCCATCTCTTCCTTCTCTTCCCGCGCGTCATCGAAATATCGCAGGTCGCCAAAGCGCTCCATGGCAACATCTTCAATTGGACGACCGCTTTCTTCAGCTGCTGTGTATGCAGCTTTGAGCTTTGTCATTCGCCATGAAGAGCCAGCGTCGCCGAAAGTGTAGTTTACGGTCGGTTCGGTTGGAATGTCAAGTTCATCGACAGACTTGCCCTCGTTGATGTCGTTGATGTGAGTGTTGATCTCGCGCTTGGACACGACACGTTTTGGTTCGGGTTTTGGAGGCGGCGACTTGTTCTTGTCGGGTCGGTGGATATAGTCGACTTCGATGGAGGAGGGGGCTGTCATCCAAGAATCTCGCTGGAGTGATTTCGATCGGTCGACTGGATCTTGGCTGGCTGGTTTCTCCTCGTCGGGGATGGGAAGATCTTCTTTGGGGTCTGTTGTCTTACGATGCCGGTCGTCGCCGTGTCGTCGCGACCGGTGGCTATCTTGGTCGTCGCGCGAATGGCGCGATCGCTTACTCCGGTGGCCTTCATCTTCGTCGTCGTGTCTCCGACGATGGCGATGCCTGTCTCCGTCTCCGTCTCTGTCTCTCTCACGTTCCGAGTCGTGTCGGTGATGATGCCTGTGCTTGCGATGTCGCTTTTCGTCGTGGTCGCGTTCTGCGCGCTCCCTCTCGGCCTTCTCAGCGGCCAACGACTTTTCAAACTCGTCTAGGCCGTCCATTTTGAAGGTATGGGGTCGTGGATACAGCACAATTGAATTGTGATGGACAAGTATTGTATTGGTTGGATGGACTGAGCCGTTAACTACGTCAGGAGCGAAAAGCTGATCCAGCTCAAAGTGGGGCCATCACAGAACTTGGGTCATGACGAAAAGCTTCAAAAGTAAGACACCCTAGAGCGCCTTCGACCAGGAGATTTTATTTATACCCTCTGCTTACAACAGTTCATCTTTGGTAGGGCTATTAAGGATTAAGTGTGAGATTTGATTTTGCCCATTCATTTTTCTCATCTTTTTACCTTGGAGATGCGGATTGCCCTGATCTACAAAGACTTTCTGAAGACATCTAGAACTAACACTACTAGAGCTAGAGCTGCAGCCTGCCGATACCATGACCGAGAATACCTGAGGTGATTAAACGAAAACACAAGGGTCTTAATTAAATCCACTAATTAGGTATGCACAGAACTATTGCTGAACAGAATCTATATCCCGTCACCTCACTGACGTAGGTATCTTCTGAACCAGCCATGACTTGTAGTGATCATCCAGCGTCTCGCTCAGAGGCCGGTAGACTATCCCAAGTTCCTTAATCCCACGCTCATTGCCAACCTCAAACCTCACACCAAGATTCGCCCGCATCCACTTCTGCGTCAGCCCAAACAGAGGCCCGACGACCCGAATCAGTAAATTCGGCAGCGTATGGCGCGGAAGAGCCCAGCGCCGCTTCGCCTGAGGTCGTATCTGCTTCGAGATATCCACAAACCTCACCATCTCTCTATCACAGACGATGTATCGCCCCTGCGCAGACTCCGTCTCTGCTGCCCTGATATGCGCTGTAGCTACCTCCCTCACGTCAACGGTGCAGAAACTCAGATCGGGAACGCCAAACCAAAGCTGGCCGCTGAATAGCTCATCAAGCAAGAAAAGACTTCCGGAATCTGATCCAGCTGTGAGGGAGGGACCGAGGACTAGTCCGGGGCAGATGACTACCATGTCCCAGCGTGATTGAGCCTTTTGAATTTTCCAGGCTTCTTTCTCGGCGACGACTTTGGAATAGTGATATGGATTGTGGGTAACGGAGCTTGATTCGTTAAAGTAGCTCTCAGCCAAGATGTTGTCTTTCATACTCTTCACATCGATGTAGTCTCCGAAGATAGCGCCAACTGAAGCATGCATGTTAATGACTGTAGGTTTGTACAAATTGGCTTCTTACTAGTAGATGTCAAAACCACCCGCTTAACACTTTCAGTGCCGTTCACACTGTTCAAAACATTTCGCGTTCCTTGCAACGCAGGATCTACCATATCCTTCTGTCCATCCTTGATCTTCTCAGCCATCAAGAATGGAGAAGCAACATGATGAACCACCGAGCAATCTTTCATAGCCGGTTCAAATGAACCTGGCTTGAGAAGATCTGCTTCAAATAGATATAGCTTTCCGGGGTATTTCTCTTGCAGATTTTGTAGCGGCTGGACTTTTCGCGTGTTGGTCAAGTCGCGTACAGTAGTGTGCACGTTATATCCTGCTTGTAGGAGCTGATTGACGAGATGGATGGCGATAAAGCCACTGCCGCCGGTGACCATGTGGGTACCTGATGCCATGGTTTCGAATTATGCGCTATAGGGGTTAAAGCGATGTCAAAGTCAATTATATGCTTGTCGCTGATGTGGATCGGTGCAGGTTTATAAACAGCTTTGGATCTCGCGTTTCTCGGCTCCCGCGGGCGTCGGTGGATATGTCAGCATTCTTATCCTGAATTTAGGTGGTATCGATGAGTTGACCAGGCAGTATAAAGAGTCTACCCCGCAACTTTAAAGCAGATCTGATGGTGAGTTGATCAAATAAACATCAAGGGCGGTGCCTGCGGGCCGAAAGTTAGTCTTTCCTTGGGCTCTAGTCATAGAGAATGGTTCCTACTATCAACCTCATGATTCTTGCTGCAGTTTTAGCACAATGGCAAGCTCTCAGTGATAAGAACTAACTCCAAAGGCTTCTTCATAGGTTCTCAATACTCATAAATAATGTTCTGTAAGATGTATTAGTGAGATACTACTGTAAAAATCAACTTTATTGCATTCATGAGTGTTGCAACCAACCTTTGCCCAAGACAGTGGAGTCGAGTCTCCTACAGCCTCACTAAGCTGCATCAGGCAATCCGACCTTATCACCCCATATCTCCTCCCAAGACCGCCAAGCTTTCCAATCGCATCCTCTTCAATTCAACTGCTTATCCTCTTCACGTGTCTAGCGAGTAAAAGTCTAGAACCGACCCGCATCCCCAGTTCGCCCCCCCCCGAGCTATCTCTCTTTAAGGGTTGATCCCGCAAAGATAATGCTCCAATCATCCCCGCAGACCTCGGCCTACTCCGTATGGGGTGAAGGCACAAAAAAAAATGTTACACAATGGGGACAAGGCAAGGAAATAAAAAACCTCGGCTGCGTTATTTTCTTATCCTAATTTATCCCTTTTAACCAGGTTTTCTGAAAAGTATCATTCCTCATTTTGGTTGAGCACGCGACATCAGCTAAGATGGCTGCTATTCCCGATCCCGAAAAGGAGTCTAAATCCGAAGCACCTCAGCTCGCCACTGAGGACCAGCTTGGAGTTCAGACTGTCTATGGCGATGAAACGCATAGAAGGCTCAAGGGCCGGCATATTCAACTCATTGGAATCGGAGGAACCATTGGCACCGTTCTTTTTGTATGTTGTCTTCAACTCTACGACTGAAGCTTCCAACGCAACAATTGACCCATGGCTAATACTGCTCTCAGGTCCAAATCGGCAAAGGTCTAATGCAAGGCGGTCCAGGAAGTCTTTTCATCGCCTTCTCCTTCTGGTGTCTAATCGTCCTCACAATCACAATGTGCATCGCCGAAATGGTCTCTTACACGCCAATCTCGTCTCCGTTCGTCCGGTTTGCCGGTATCTACGTCGACGAAGCTCTCGGTTTTGCTTCCGGCTGGAATTTCTTCATATTCGAAGCTGCGTTAGTACCCTTTGAGGTAACAGCTTGCCATTTCATTCTTCAATTCTGGACCGATGCGATTCCTGTTGGGGCTACTATCGCTGTGATTATCGTGCTGTATGCACTCATCAACCTCATGGCGATTCAGTATTTCGGCGAGACCGAGTTTTGGGCTGCTATTGGAAAAGTCATCTTGATCGTTGGCCTCATTTTCTTTACGTTTATCGTCATGGTTGGTGGGAATCCGCAGAAAGATGCGTTCGGATTCACCTACTGGAAAAGTCCTGGGGCGTTCGCGGAACTTTACTACGACGGTGCCTTGGGTAAATTCGTGGGCTTTGTGGGCTGTCTCATCCAAGCTGCCTTTTCTATCGCTGGTCCCGATTATGTCGCAATGGCAGCTGGAGAAGCCGAGAACCCTCGCAAGATTCTGCCCCGGGCTTTCAAGACGGTGTTTTACCGGCTGACATTCTTCTTCGTGCTTGGATCCCTCTGCGTGGGCATTCTCGTGCCTTACGACGACCCAAACATGATTGCTGCTTTTGGGGATGGCAAGTCCGGAGCTGCTGCTTCACCGTACGTTATCGCCATGGACCGTCTTGGGATCCGGGTTCTGCCGCATATCGTCAACGCCATGATTCTGGTGTCGGCGTTTTCCGCCGGCAACTCCTATGTGTTTTGTGCGACGAGATCTTTGTATGGCCTTGCGCTTGAAGGGAAAGCACCGCGCTTTTTGAAAATCTGTACCAGGACCGGTGTTCCCATTTACTGCGTCCTTGTGGTGCTGCTCATCGCTCTGCTATCTTTCCTTCAGCTCTCCAACAGCTCAGCTGTTGTTCTGAGTTGGTTTGTGTCCTTGGTCACAGCATCTCAGCTGATCAACTTCTCCGTCATCTGTCTTACATACCTTTGCTTTTATCGTGCAACAAAGGTGCAGGGTTTCGACCGCTCGACGTTGCCCTATCGCGCGTGGTTTATGCCATATGCTGCGTACGTCGGACTAGTTGCAACTTTCATCATGGTATTTGTTGGAGGATACACTGTTTTCTTGCCTGGGATGTGGGATATTCCGAGCTTCCTGTTCTCGTAAGTATCTCCGTGAATACGACGAGAATACAACTGACACCCACAGATACACATCAGTTGGACTATTCCCAGTATTCTATGTCGGATGGAAGATTGCGCACAAAACAAAGATTGTTAAGCCAACCGAAATCGATTTACGACATAACTTGGCCCCGATTGAAGAGTACGAGAGAAACTATGTGCCCAAACCACCAGCGTACGTATATCTGCCTCTTTAAAGAATGACAAGATGCTAATAACCTTACAGAAACTGGTTTGAGAAGGGTTTGCACTTTTTGTTTGGTTAAAATCTTTTGCCACACCAGAATGTGTAAGTATTAAGAAGAGAAAGCAAGATCGGAGAATACAACAATAGGGTTTTACGACATGATTCAACATTTCTATACATCTACTGGCAAGAATACTAGACGGCATCTGGGGCGGTTAGATAAAAGGGCAACTAGCAGACGATGATACCCAAGTTCAATTGCAAAGCTATCATTTCTTTGGAAACTCGCATTGAAAAAACAGAATGTTCTCCGTGAATGGCTGCTGAGCTGATTCCTCCAGATTCGCAAGTCTATTTCTCAACATATGGTGCCAACGTCTCAGCAGATCTCTTCAAAAGCTCCGTATAATAAGTCTCAGACAGCAAACCCGACCCGTGATCGATAATGAACTGCAGCTGGTCAGGCGTAACATCCACCTCTCCTGTCTCCAACTGAGCCTTGCCATAATCCCCAACGGGCGTTCGATCAATAGCTGGCATAAACTCAACGGCCAGCCCACCATCGTAGCCAACTTCAGCGAGAGCTTTCATAATCTTGGGCCAGTCGAAAGATCCATCTCCCGGTGCGAGTCGGTTATTATCGCCTACGTGAAAATCAACGATACGCGATTTGCATGCGTGGATAGCTGTAATAAGATCCTTCTCCTCAAGTGCAAGGTGGAATGGATCAAAGGCGATACCGACGCCGTATCCAACCTCATCGGCGAGAGCAAGAGCTTGGTTTGAGCGATTGAGGAAGTAAGTCTCAAACCTATTCAACGGTTCAAGACCAATCTTGATACTCTTTTCCTGCGCAAAAGCAGCAACTTCACGGAGGGCCTCTACAGCCCACTTCCATTCATTCTCCGGCGTAGAAGAAGGGATAATAGTGCCGACGGTGCCAGGGACGACGGTGGTGATCTGGCCGCCGAGCTCAGCGGACATGTTGACGACTTGCTTCATGTACTCGATGGTATCTCGGCGTTGTTGAGGATCAGAGGCGAGGAGGTTTCGCTTGCCGTGCATGACTGTCACGGTTCCCCAGCACTTGATATTGTATTTTTGAAGAAGATCGTGGGTTGGTCCGATGGGAAATTGATCGGGCTCGCCGGCCAATTCAATGCTGGTGTAACCGAGGCGGACGAGCCTCTGAAGGGTCTGCTCAAGAGGCTCGGGCCGCATCCAGGTATGAGAAGAGAGATGCATTTTAAATGAGTATTGAAGTAGGTAATTCCAGGATGGAATGGGTGAAGATTAATTGTTACTTTGAAGATCATGCTCTTCCTTTTTATTTTACTTGATGCCAGGTTCATGCTGGCTGTTTAATGTAAGGTATGTCAATGAGCGGATGGTTGTCTTCCGTTAAAGTGGGCCATGATGACTAGAGACGGAGCATCAGCTTCCGCCTTATTAATTGAATTGGTGAGACTTCGGCGCTCACATTACTAAAAAGCCACGCAAGTGGATGACAACGAAAGTCGTAAGACCTTACCCACAAGGAACACAAGATCCCGCTTCGAAATCTTCAATTCAGAGTCAGTTTGGACGAACTATATATATCCGAATCATGTTTCGTATAATGGAAATCATCCAACTCACAAACCGTCAACAAGCACTCTGCTTCTACACTAAACTCAAGTCCTGACTATTTTACCACCAAGCATCATGTCTATCCCTTGGAACGACGATTCAGTCTTTGAGTCTTACAACATCATAGAAGAGACGTAAGTCCCAGATCTCGAACCGTCCTGAATAATAGCTGACATCGCCAAGATTCAAAACTGTCTCATCTCATGATATCAAAACAGCCATTCTGATCCCCAAGAACCTCAAGCCAGGTCACCACCCAATCATATATAACATCCACGGTGGATTTCTCGTCATGGGAAGTGGTTTGTTCGCTCCTTTCTTCCCAAAATGGGTTGACAAGCTTGCGCTCCAAAACTCTGCCATCATCGTCTCCCCCGACTACAGACTGTTACCTTCTGCAAATGGTCTGGATGATGTGCTTGAGGATGTCGAAGATGGCTGGCAGTGGACAAAAAATGAGTTGCCAGGTATCTTGAAGGAGAAGGCCCCTGGTCATTCTATCGACCTTTCTCATGTCCTCCTGGCTGGCGGATCAGCTGGGTAAGTTAAGCGACCAAAAAGAAAGACGTGTAGCTAACGCTCTTAACAGTGGATACTGCTCTGTTCAGCTTGCCCTTTCTCATCCCGCCGACTTTCACTCTCTTGCTGTCGTTTACCCTCTGTTGGACACCAAAGACAGACTTTACATTCAAGGTGCACTCCCTGACGAGCCAACTGTGCTGCGCATGCCGCTAGAAGAAATCCCATCAATTGAAGATACTCTAGCTTGGATCGAAAAGATGCGCATAGATCCCGAATCAAGAGCTGGTTTAGAGAGAACTCCTTTCGCAGTCGCAGCCTGTCAGCGGGGTATTTTCTCATCTCACATGCTGGACAACAAGGGTCTTGACAAGACAGAGTTCCATCCTCTCGAACGAATCGAAACTGGTGCGGAGTTGCCCAAGCATATGTAGGTCGCTTTGAACTCCGTGAAGATGAGGACAGAACTGACTAAATGTAGATGGATCATGCATGGAGATGATGACTCGACAGTGCCTATCCGCGGCTCTCAGAAGTTCATTGATCTCGTGGCTGAGAAACTACCAGAGACTGTTGTGCGGTATGACCCTGTTGCTGGCGAGGATCATGGCTTTGAATTTGATGAGAAGAGATGGGAGTCTTTTGCTGATGAGGCACTTGCCTTTGTGAGAGATGCTTGGTTAGCTTAGACCGTCAGTCTACATTGTCATAGCTCACAGGCGGCATACTCAGTAAAGCCAGCCAATTCCAGTAATGGCCAAGATGCAAGAGGCCGTTTTGAAAATATCATACTTCGCCACCTCATTTATGAAGTCGTTATCTCAACAGCTAGGTCCTTTTGTTCCGATCGAATGCAGACATCCATGGTTCGAAGTACAAGTATCTTGGGTAACAAAACACTGCAGATTCTACCAACCCCCTCCGAACACAAAAAGGATATCGTATCGGACCCCGCGACCACCATATCAGCCTATCATACCAAGCCCTCTGGGTAACATCCACCACTGCAACTATTGCGAGGTCCAATAAATGCCCCCGCCTGATGTCCCTGTGCCCCATGGCCCCCATGGCCCCCCATTTCTCATTGTCTCAACTCCCAAGAAGCCAAGCCAGCGGCAAAAGAACACCGTTATCATTTTGGCCACAACAAAAACGTCGTGCTACACTCGCATCTCAAAAAGTTCCTCATCCCGGAGCATTACTGGATAGACTTATTTTTTGGGTTACAACTAGAGTGGGCAGCCGGCAGATCTGATAAGGCTACTCTGTACACTGGTCATCAGCCCAATGAAAGGCTCTCGTGATGCCACTTGCCGAGTCACGATGTCGGACGATAGGGATCTAGTGACTCTCGGGGGCGGATGCACGGATAAAAGAGTGGACTCGTCTCCGCAAGTGGGGATCTCCGACGCCGATCGACCTAGGACCAACACGGACTGCTCACACGTCATTCGAATGCGTGGCTTGAGGGGAACCAAGCATTGGCTCGTTTCGAAACTTGGCATGGTCATTCCTCTCTTTTCCCACTCCATGCATGCATCGATATCGATATTTCGCCATTTACTATTCTTGTGAATATTTTCCCATATAAAGCCCTCTGTGAATACCCTGCTTTTTTTTGTCTCTGCCCGTGAGGATAACGCCGCTTTGTCTTCTTATCTACTAGTGCCGTGCCGCGTGCGTAAGCGAGCCTCACCTCTTTTTCCCGCCCATTTCTCACGAGAGAATTTTCAACGTCACCATGAGATTCCAATCCCCTCTTATCGCAGTGGCTTCCGCCCTGTGGCTCCTCTGCCCATCAGTCCTAGCCCAAGAACCCGCGGATGCGTCGGGCTCTTTATCCCTCAACACCGACAAGCCATTATGGACCTTTGAGTACCAGACCTCAACCCCCAACCTCGCCAACTGGATTGGTCTGTACTACAGCGCCGGCGGCGGGCCCGTGGACCAGAAGAAGGGCTCGTCCAACTCCATCAAGTGGAAGTGGGCGCCTCATGACAAGGGCGATGTGCAGCTTGACTTTGGAAGCCTGGAGCCTGGAAACTACACTGCTTTCTTCCTGGCGAATGGCGGTTACTCGTGGCTTGCACCCCCTCTTCAGATCATCAAGGGTCGCGAGCTCGATGGTGATGTGAAGTTTATTGTTTCTGACATTTCTCTCCCTAAGGCCCGTGTGGGTGATGGTTACTCTCATAGCATTAGAGGTCTTGTCCGCGGTGGAGGCGGCACCATGAAATTCTCCACCGAGGGTTCTAATGTTGACTGGATCAAGATCAGCGCTGATGGTATCGTCTCTGGAACGCCTACTTCAAGCGCCGATAAAGCCGTCTTCACCGTTCGCGCCACTGGAAGGGATTCCGCCTCTTCCGGTGTCTTCACCATCAACGTTGCTGGCTCTGGCAAGGCTCTGCTAAGCGAGCTCAAGGTCCTCACTCTCAACATGTGGAACGGCGGTACTATGGTTACCAGCTACCACGACAAGCAGGTCAAGTTCCTCGCCTCTTCCGGCGCCGATGTGGTCGGTATTCAGGAAGACCAGCAGGGCCGCCATGTTTCTCGCCTCGCTGATGCTCTGGGCTGGTATCACTGGTCCAGCGGTGGTGATGTCGGTGTTCTTAGCAAGTATCCCATCGTCGAGGACTACGGTGTAATCAGCGGTCCTGCTCGTTCTGGTGGTGTAAGAATTGCTCTCGATGGCGAGAACCAACAGATCAACTTCTTCGTTGCTCATCTGGGCTATACCCCCTATGGACCTTACGACACATGCTATTATCATCTGCCTGTCGATAAGATCATTCAGCGAGAAGCCGAGTCCGGTCGCACTCCTCAAATGAAGGCGACCCTTGAGGGAATGAAGAGCCAGCTTGATAATGCTGATGATATCCCTGTGTTCTTCGTTGGCGACTTCAACGCCCCCTCTCATCTCGACTATGTCGATGGTTTGAAGGAGAAGAATTGCGGATACACCAACATCCAATGGCCTACCTCCGTTCTTCCCAAGGAGAAGGGCCTCATCGACTCATTCCGCGTCGCTCATCCCGACCCCGTCAAGGAGCAGGGCATTACATGGTCGCCCATCTATATCTGGAACGGTGGCTACGGCAAGCCTGAGCCTCTGGACCGAATTGACTTTATTCTGCACAAGGGCAAGGGCCTAAAAGTCACTGACTCTCACACCGTTGTTGTTGGTGAGCCTAAGGCTGAGCCTAACCATAAGGAAAATGAGTGGTTCTCTGACCACGCGGCTGTCTTGACGACTTATGAGCTTTAGGTCTGGAACCAAGCTACGAAATCAACTTTGGTGTTACGGCCTGTTTAGATGACTTGATGATAAATAAGTATGAATATAAATTTCTTCAACAGAATGCATTGAACAGAGGTCCCTCCGCTGCGAATAAACGCGAAATGGGAATAGATGACTAGCCCAAGCGCCGCTTCGGCCACCAAGTTTACGAATGTGTGATGAGCAAATAACATATTGATAAGCTAACAGACATCTTGGCATCCATTGGAGGTTCAATAGCGACCCGATCCCCCCAGCAGAGGCAACTCTTGCTGCCGCGTGATCAATCTCTATAAATATGCTAGGCTCGGCAATCAATCAACCATGTGAAATTCCACATGCAATTCCCATCTACAAACAATTACTTAATTGCCGTCTCAAAATCAGGGTCCTTTTGTTTTGCCCATTCTGCAACGCATCGCGTTTCAGAAATCTAGCGAAAGCGGGTGAAACAAACCCCCGAAACCACAACATCCTCCATTCTCCACAGATCAGATCATCAAGCGATTTTTGTTTCCGCCAGGTGATCTATCTCTCCGCAAGAACCCATCGACTGCCGTACTTGCAATCCATAAGCTTCCAATCCTCGTAATATCCCTTCACAGGGCCCTTGAAGAGATTTTCATAGTCCCAGTTTGCGGGGTAGCGATGAAAGTAGGCGTGGCGTAAACTGAGAGTAGATGATCTGGAACCGTAGCTGAGAAACGTGCGCAACATATCTCTGATTGATACTTCGGTGTAGAGTTCTTTCAAGGCATTATACTCATTCATCAGTTTCTTTGATGGTAAGAGAGATGGGATCTGGTGGTGGGGGACCGGCTAATGGTTGTCAAATCTCTGATGCTGTATGGCCATGAAAAAAAGTGAGAGGAATTTCAAGACTCCTTAGTGACAGAAACTATCCAAGATCATCAATGCGACCGTGAGTCAGCGGCCATTCATGCTCAGAGAAATCAATCAGTCCTCTGCATAATAGTCAAGTTGAGCGTTAATTTAGTCAAGGAATGGCGAAGATGCTCCAGTCCTCTTCTTATCTCATATACGTCAAATTCGCATTCAAAAGCAGGAAGATAATGCACATAGAACAAGGGTTTGAGAGTGGGCGTTTGCGCAAGCATTGCTATGATGTTATGGGTGTTTGACGAGCAGTGATCCAGATGAAGCGTAGGGCGGGTACCCTAGACTACTGCAGGCAGCTAATAAGACTCCATTCACACGTTGAAGCGTAGTGAGAAAGGCAGCATGCGGTGCAAATGAAAGATGCCAGGAGGAATTTGTGTCTGCGAGTTTGCTGTCATTCCCTTTTCGCTGACTGGCGAAACTTTCTGGTGAGAGAGTTCTTGCGTTTGGATGATAGAATGATAGTGGTCGATTGTAAGGCTCTGAACTTCGGTGCATGCCGTGAAGATGAGTGATAAGATAAGATCAAAGTCGCGATCCTTGAACGCCAGGTTCAGCTTCTCCGTTTCAGAAAAGTTCAATATCTCAATCCCATCAAGAATTATCTGTCGAGCATTATCGCTCTCTACCGGGTGAAAAGTGAAAAGCTTCAGTTTCTTAGTATCACAAAAATACTCATTATGTAAATAATTCTCAATCTAAAATCCCAAGCTCTTAACATAACTCTTGAGTGCTGGACAACTCAATATCGCAAAAAGAAAGCTAATGCCCCAGGGTAGTCGCCTTCTGCGTGCCGCGCGTATTCTCTCGAGCCGCCTCAACTCTTTGGGCTAAAGTGGCGGGGAGTCTGGCGCTTCGACGTCGTGCGTTATGGTGATGTCGCGGTAGAGAACTGAAACAGTTGCGGTGCGGAGATCTTTGCTTGTTTGACAAAGATGGAGTTGATCGCGAATGGATAGCCGAGGGATGATCTTGAATCTCTAGATGTTGATTGTTTCAACCAAAGTGGCTATGTTTGCAGTTATAACAGAACAATCAAAGGATAGAAACTGAACAAGGAAATCACAGCAAATCTCGTCGCATTTGAGGTTATTTACACTCAAATTCACTGAAGCTATACGGCATTTGCTCTAGATTCGGGGATTTGCTCATCTGGCTGGGGTCACCTCAGGACCCATCGTCGAGAGAAACTGTGGAGTGAGACCCGTGCTCCCCGACGGCACAAGCCGAAACCAGATCGAGTCATTACAGAGTCGCAATCTTTCTCTGTATACGACTCTGCAAGTCAATTGATACAATGCATCTTCTCAGCAGACGTTATCTGATACAATTGATAAGCGAGAACTCCGTAATCTCCTCTCAACACAAAAGGGCCTCGAGAAAAACGAGTCTTTTCCGCTGAGTAACACGCCAAGAATCTGAGCGCAGACTAGTCAAACTTAAAAGGCTGGAGTATAGAAACTTATCAGATCAATTCAGCGTCTCCCCCAACCTCGTCTATCAGATAAGACGTTAGTAGAAACCAACATGTTCTTTAATTGGCATACCAAGCTTTCTCGCCTCTATTTCTAGATAGCCAAGAGAGCGGGGGGGGGGGGGGGGGAAGGGCCGCGTTGGCAGTGACACACTGCCAAGAGCGACAAGTCCATTATGCCCAGGTCATGATACACTATTAGTCTACTACCAGTGGGGGCTCTCTCGTTCAGAAGTGCCGATATCTACTGTATAAACGACGCGTTCCCCAGATGATCACCACAGACACTGAGACGGCCAAGAAATAAGGGGACCGCCGGAAACTAGACGTTCCGCCCCCTGCGGTGGGTATATTTGCAATACGACGTCGTAGAATTTAGAACCTGCGACACCAGATCTGCCCTGCTCCCGCAACATGCTTAACTGTAGCCGCAGATCTCCGCGACGCCACGCCATACCAAAACGGTCTCGGCTACACAGTATTCCCGGGGAAAAAACAGAGGGTAAAAAAAAAAAACCGTAGCTGAGTGAAACAGTGACGCTTGAAACTGTGCCGTGAGACGATGCTCGTTTCGCTTCAAAAGTCGCCTCAATTTGTATTCACCAACTTAAAATAGTTTATTATAACGTCGCCAAGAAGTGTATAAAGATGAACCGAGATCCCGCCAAGCTAGGTTTCTTTTCCTCTCGTTATCCTGCACTCTCTGTTCTAGGCTGGTACCTGGGCGACATATATTTCCTTTGTACGTTTCCTTGTGTTCATTGAGTTTTTCTCTGTCTCTTTCCCTGGAATTTTGTTTCTATTCTTCCTTGGCTTGTTTCTAGTCTCTTTTCTTTATATTTCGATTCGAATGGGAACTGGTTTCTCTTCTTTTTGGTAATACAACTTCAACTGCTCCTCACGATCGTTACGAAACGGTTCTTTCTGTTCAATCTCTATTCGATATGGATTCTGCAAAGCCTCAATGTGGTGGATCGGGGACGGGTGACGATTATCCTCTTGCCTTGCATGTCGGAGGTCTCTGTAAGTACTCCACGCGCTGAAAGCTTGTTACATACTACTCCACCGTGACAAGCGAAGTGTTTGCTTGGCAATCTAACAATTTCACAGTCGCCGTGTTTACTGTGTCTGCTTTCGGTAGGTTAATTATTTTCTGACATTAGATGTTAATTGCTAATGATTCTCAGGCGCTGGTTTCCCCGTCGCTGCGAAGAGGATAAAGTGGCTCAAGATGCCGCCCAAGGTCTTTTTTGCTTGCAAGCATTTCGGTACTGGAGTTTTGATTGCTACTGCTTTCGTTCATGTGAGTACCCACGAGATACAGGTCGAAACTCACCTAATAATCATCAATAGTTGCTTCCTACAGCATTCGGCAGTCTCACTGATCCTTGTCTCCCCGACCTCTTCACCGAAATCTACCCCGCCATGCCCGGTGTCATCATGATGGTCGCCATGTTCCTCCTCTTCATGGTCGAGCTCTACCTCAACGCAAAGACTGGCGGCCACTCCCACGGCGGTCCGACCGGCACTACAGTCACCGTCGTCCAGCCTCCTCCTCCTCGACCTCAGCGCCCATTCCCCGAGACTGCAAACTTCACCCACTCTCACACTCGCAACGACTCTAATGTTTCTGACGACTACGACGATGTTGACTACGAGAAGGCTATGGCTCGCGAGCTGTATGAGAAGGAGAACAAGCCTCACGCCTACTCTTACGACCGGGACAGCAACTCTTCCATGCCTGCTTGGTTCGTCGTCTTCTACGAGCAATACATTCGACAGCGCTCTGAGATGATGGACATGATCAAGTCAACTCAGTACTCCAACCAAGCCGTCATCGATGACAAGCCTAGCCCCGAAGTCAGCCAGTCCTTCTTCGACGAGGAGGGTCAGACAATTGATCAGGCTACCTACAAGCGAATGTCGATGAACATCACCCTCCTCGAGGGAGGTATCCTCTTCCACTCTGTCTTCGTCGGAATGACAATCGCCATGACGACTGACGGTCTCGTTGTCCTTCTCACTGCCATCATGTTCCATCAGATGTTTGAGGGTCTCGGCCTCGGAGCTCGTATCGCTGCTGTGCCTTATCCCCGCGGAAGCTTCCGACCTTGGATTCTTGTTCTGGCCTTCGGTTCTACTGCACCTATCGGCCAAGCCATCGGAATCGCCAGCCGAAACTCTTACGACCCCGAGAGTGCACTTGGTCTTATCATGGTTGGAGTCTTCAACTCTATGTAAGTTCGCCTCAAACCACTTGCATCAATCATCTCTAACAATTCCCAGCTCTTCTGGTCTTCTCATCTACGCTGCTCTGGTCAACCTCCTGGTTGAGGACTTCCTTTCCGAGGAAGCCCAGCACCTCATGAAGAAGAAGGACAAGATCGCCGCTCTCTGCTGGATCGGCCTCGGCGGTAAGTCTCTCCCCCATCTCATCGTCTGTGCTCTCGCTAATTCTGCCAAGCCTTCGGAATGTCTGTTGTCGGTGCTTTCGCTTAGATTTCACAAGTGTTTGAAAACAATAGACATGAAACCACGCGACGGAAAGACGCGACTCGAGATATGTTATCCTCATAACGGCTCTTTTTTTAACTTGTACTATACTGGGGAAGGGATGGTGATGATGTTCGTCTGACTTTCATTCATTACGGAACGAACATTGGGATGGTGTTAAAATTTACGAATATATTGATGTGCATGGATTAACAAATGCGAGCGGTACATAATGATTATGATGATATACTGGGACTCTGAAAGTACTGCTGCTAAGATAGAAGAAAGAATGAATAGAATCTTATCTCACTCCGGATACTGAAGTTCCGCTTGTTGATGTTTGAGTTGCGCATTGATCTTCTGCTGCTGAGTGCATTGATAATTACTTGTTGAGCCAATAGGAAAGTTCTTGGCCGGTTTCATCATCGAGTTCCAGGATACGGTCTTGGCAGCTTGTAAATGTTTGATAAGCCCTTGTATTATAACTCTATTATCAACGTTATTTATTTATAGCTAAATAATACGATTGGCTCATCTACTTGTAGATGTCGCAACCCCCATCGCAATGCGACAGCTCTGCATTGCTCTACACCCCCGTCGACGAACTTCTCGTCACTCAAATGGATAATAGACAAGCTTCAGCAATTCGAAGGAAACTATGCGTCAGCCTGGCTTTTATACGCTCGGGCCCCAAGGTCTTGTTCTGTTGGCAGCAATATTTCTATGTCAGTCTTCGACAGGTATACATGTCACAAAGAACAGTTATGCGTCAAATAATGATTTAAATATCAGAGAAGTAAAGAAAGAATATTGATAAGAGCGATGCGGAAAGTGTTGACGGTGAAGAATTTGGTGAAAGTGAGATTTAACCGATGAGCCTAATATCAAGAGGTGAACATTGGTTCATGTTTAGGCTGATCAAAGCTCAATAATGTTAGCTGGACAGGTACTCACGGCTCATCCTGTCAACCGTCTTCAAAAACTCACCAACTCCAATATGATCCGATGCAAAGAACCATTGTGGAATATTTTCAGGCTGGTTGACTGACTCTTCGACTCTGGTTGGTTGAAGCCTTTGACCGTTCCTCTTCGGTCCAATCAAACCTCGCCGGCTTTCCCAATTCGGCAATTTCCCATTCCCCCCAATACAGACCGCTTGTAAAAAACATCGTGGTGCTTCCCGGACTGTTTCTGTTTATGATTCGTGGTTAATCTTTAAAGAACCTACTGTATTCAGAGCCATGTCTTACCATCCCCATCGTATTCTTGCATCAACGCACGACCAGCATCATGTACGATACAATGCTATTCCGGCTAGTCCTTTGGCTGCCATGATTCATCGTATGTATGTAATTCTCGTCTCAGCTAACAAACACAGCCTCAGATTCCCATTCAACGACAAATTACAAGAGTGGAACTTGTAACCGCAACACGCTGCACGGTCTGTGGACTTGGTCTCGTCCCATTACACTCGACCTACTGTTCTTCATACGCCTTCTTCTGCACAACCTGCCCGCAATTAACAACATCAACCCAAGTCACTCTCGTCGCCGGTAAAGCACTCCCGAAGTACATACCCTCTGTACTGAGTGGCTGCTCGGCATGCTGGAAGGACTTTAAGAGAGGTCAGATGATATGGAGCTGCAAGAAGTGCTGGGACAAAACACTTTGCGAAAAGTGCTAGAAGAAGGTAAAGAGACATTGCAAGCATGGTTCAAGTGGAGAGGTCGTCACGATGAGTGTTCTGGATGGGGATGGATCATGGGGATGATGGTAGTGATAGACATGGCAACGAGGACGATGATGATGGGTTGGAAGATGTTATTGATGCGATTGTTAGTATTGTCATTTGATACAGTGTCACCACCTCTGTGAGGTTAATGGAGGGGATCCGATCCAGCACCAAAGGAGCAAACTACCTCGTAATAAAGCATGCCTGCCCTAGGGAGACAGCATCTCTCATGTTGACTGCCTTGAGTCTTGATCAGGCTACAAGTTGAGCCTGACTTGGGTCGTTTACATACGTTCCAACCTCCCTATGACGGTAACAGCCTTAAATATCCCTCCCCTTCGAAAGAAGAATATTTATCAATCCCACAGAAAACCACCGTTCTTTCTCCAGAACCCATCCGGGTCATATCGCTTCTGCACACGCTTCAAGAACTCTTCATTCTTCTTACCGTAACTAGACTGAACAGGCTGGTCCAGGAGTGCATAATTCATGTACCGTGGATTAGTCCGGTAGAACTCCGCCTCCCTCGCAGTAACAGCGCCCGGGATGGCGTTTGTGCTGAATACCCCAGGAGCAAAGGACATTGCCAATTTATCTCCGACCGTGCTGATGCGCTCAACAAACTCGAACATCTTACTGTCGTGCTTGGCCTCCAGCCAGGCGAGCGTGTAGTCGATCCAAACAGCATCGCCAGCGTTTGGTTCAAGGCCAAGCACGTTCTTTACGCCTGTGACGTTCTCGCCGGCTCGCATCGCAAGTGCTGGTACTGGCACCAACGCCATGGAAAAGAGGAGGTCCTGATCGCCGGCTGCTGTTGCGTTTGCCATGTCCCGGAACTCCTGCCATTGCTGGAGGTACAAATCAGCGCCGTGCGGCGCTACGAGGTTGGGAAATGTGTGGCCACCGATCAACCAACGTTTCTGGGGCGTGTTACCATTGTTGTTTGACGCTATGAGGGCCGAATAGCTTTGTGTGGAGGTTGTGTCTGCGATGGGTTTGGCTGCGTAAAAGGCTGCAAAAGGATTGGCGTCGCCGGTCGGCGGAGAAGAGGCATTGTAAAAGACATAGACGTTTATAAAGGACAGCTGAGGGTTGGAGCCCCCTCCCATGCTGAGGTAAATGTGCGATAGAGGATCGTAATTAGCGATGAAAGCCTGTGTGGCGTTGAAGACCTGGTTGGCCTTGTCGATAGAAAAGGTCAAGATACCAGCCCAAACCTGTGTCGTTTGCTTGTATGTCGTGAGGCTGAAGCGCGTCACGATGCCAAACTGGTTTCCGCCGCCCTTGAGTGCACGGAAGAGGTCGGGCTTGGATACTTGGTCGACGTTGGCGATGGTCCCGTCCGCAAGAACAACCTCGTAGTTAAGCACATTGTCACAAGCCATGCCGTGCAACCCAGTGAAGTAGCTGATGCCTCCTCCAACGGCCAGCCCCCCAACGCCAATAGATGCGAATCGGCCCCCAATGACAGTCACCCCGTGAGGCTCAAGCGCCTCGTACACATCAACCCATCTCGCCCCAGGCCCTACAACAGCATAGCCCTTGTCAGCTACATTCTGGACTCCATCAATCAAGTCCAATGAGATGAGAACTCCACCCTCGGTGCTGGACCAGCCGGGCCACGATCCATGACCCCCGCTCGTAACAGCAAATCGGACATTTTTACCGCAGGACGAGAGTACCTTTATGACGGAGGCCACTTGCTCCGTGTTCCGGGGCCGTGCGATGCAAGCTGGGCTCAGATCGCCCGCCGTTTCGCTCCAGTAGCTACTCTGAACTGTCTGGTATCCCGTCGAGTTTGGGGCAACGAACGCTTCAGCTGGCAACGTCGAAGCGAGAATCGAACATGCTTGAGGTGCTGTTGAGCAGGGACAACTTGCCACTGCGGGGGTAGCCAATACTAGTAGGCCCCGTAAGAGCGTTGCCCGTAGTCTTCTGCTCTGCATAGTTATCAAAGGTTTCTCTCAAGTTGTGCTACAAGTTTTACTTGAGCTATGTGATGTGAGAATTGTATGAGGATAAAAAGGACATCTTGGATGTTTTTAACCGTGACTTGTCATCCTCTTCTTCGGTCTCACCGGGCTTGAGTGAGACATTCCCCGCCTTTGGGCCTCCCAGACTGGCCAATGCAGATGCATGGGGTAGCACAACCATGTCTCGCCCACCCACTACCTACCCAAGTACATATGCACATGCATATGCTCAACCCCTCTCTAGTTATCTCCTGCCTTTGCATATCCGGGCCTCTGGGGAAATGAAAACATCAGGCCTTGATATCAGGTGTCAAAATAAACTCAGTAAAAGTTATCCTAAGCTTAGCCTAAAGTTACCTAAATTTATTCCAAGTTACCTAAGTCTTTTTGTTAGTTGGGATTTAGGTCCTGAGTATTCTTTCCTCCCCTAGCCGGGTACTTGCTTGGGCCGACTACCTTATGCCAGCGTGAACCTGCAAGCAAGGTCACGGACGCCGACTTATTTATTGCCATGCTCCTTATATTCTGAAGACTTTTTTTATTGTAGACTCCTTCACGGGTTTGCTCTATTTGGACTTCTCTGTCTGACACGGCGAACGCTGGATCATTCAACTACTGAAGTCGATACCTCTAGAATCTGTACGCAACTCAACTTTTCATTCAATACCAATACGGACGCCATTCTACTCAATCAATATCTTATGCTTTTTCTGCCTCGTAAAATTGCTGGCAAGTGTTCATTGCCAGCTTCATCAATTCGTTTGCGTCTTCTCGTCTTGCCCTCGGTTCTTCCTTTCACCGTCTTCACTTGGACTCCCAAACACCATGTGCTTCAATCAGAACTCCCCTTCCAGTCCACATGATTTTGATGTGGACATGGGAGATGCTGATTTTATCGCAAGTCTTGGTGAGGATATGCTTACGCAGACGATGGGGGATGTGCGCGTGAGGCTGAGGCCATCAATCGTCAATCTTGGCTCGACCAGGAGCTTGTGCTTGACACATTGCACCTTTTCAGCGCCAATGTCAAAATCTCTGGACATCGTGTCAAATGCTTGTTTGACGAGATACTCCGGCGAGACTCTGACAGCCAACCTCTTATCGTGGCAGTGCAAGATCTCTCCCGGAAACAGGCCTTTACACGATTGCCTGGTTACAACTTCTGGGCTGCTGACTTGGGACTCATTACAGAGGACGACTATGAGTTATCCACCAGAGAAGCCTCTCAAGTCAAGAGCATTGAACTTGCGCGCCATGCCATCTGTGCAGCCTCCATTTCACTCGACAAGGTCTCTGACGCAATGCAAGATTTCAGCGATGCGCCACCTGAGATTGAAGAAGCCCTCTTCGACATCGTCCAATCCCTCTCTTCCTCCCGCGACGCCCTCGTTGTCACTCACGATACTTTCGCCGAGGCTCGGGGAACTCTTTCGGTCGCCATCCAAAGAGTCGAGGATGCTCAGGAAGTCATTTCCAAGGCCCAGGATGCTGTTCCCCAGATCCAAGGTATCTTGTTCGCCGCTCTGGATGAACTCTTGGGTCCTCTCCGTGTCCTTTCGGGCGTTCAGAGGAGCTTCTCCTGTGAGGAAGACGCTGCTGCTCGTCCTCAGGAGGAACGAATCCGCGGCGTGGGCTTCTATGTTCATTCTTCCCTTCGAACTGATCAGTGGAGAGTGCGATCATACCCCGGTGATAACGAGGACATTTTTGCCACTCTTGAGCTGACGACCCTGTCGGGGCTGCTTGCCATCCACAACGCCTACAACCACAACAATCGACTAGACGTCCCGGCTCTGCTTCAACATCTGGCATCTTACGAGTCTAGCAAGTGCGACATGGTCTTACTTGGCGACTTCAACTATCACCATGGGTCTTGGAGCATCAAGGTAAATGGTGTGGTTACTCAGAGGATTACGCCGGAGTCCAAGGCGTTTGCTGCTGGTGTCAAAGGACTTGGCCTCGCACTGCAAACGACACCTGGGGAAATCACTTTCTCACGCTCTCAGGACACTGATCAACAAAGATCCACAATCGATCTGACGTTTGCGAGCCGAAAGCTCGCTCCATCAGTACTCTCTTGCAAGGCCTTGCAGATTCCTGGGTACAAGAGTGATCACCGCGTCATTGAGACGGTTATCCGAAGACGGGTCAACACTCACGTCAGAATCATACCTCAATGGCAGGAAGCTGATCACGAAGTGTTTCAGAGGAGTTTGGAACCTTTGCTACCCTCGCTCGATGCCCTTCTCGACACCGACGACCAGAGGGACAAATACATGACTGATATCATGTATGGTTTGATGGAAGCAATCCACGACAACGTCCCAGTGAGAATTAGAGATTCTCAGCCACGGCGACTGAGGTACTTGGCTAAGCGTATGCAGAAACACACTGCCAAGTTGGATGCGCTCAAGGCAGGTCCTCAGGACACTCGCTCACTAGCCAACATACGCATGATCCAACGCCAGATGAGCAAACACAACCAGGAGTTGTGGTAGATGTTCACTGAGGACAAGTCTGCGACCACCAAGGGTGCTTACGAGCTTGCGGGCATTGCGAAGAATATTGGCAAGCCGAACCAGATATCACAGACACCAACCCTCAGGCTTGGTGACGAGGTCGCCGAAACGGACAGCGAGAAGATCGAGATGATCAAGAAGGAAAAGTTCCCTGACAATGACAAGCCATACTCCAAGAGCATACCCACTGAGCCCCGCCCCCGACCAGCCGACAGCCGACCTGAGTTATGTATGTCGCAGGATCTCGACGACGAGCATTTGAGACTGATCATTTCCAAACTTCAAAGGCACAAGGCTCCGGGACCTGATCTCATCCCCAACGAAGCAATTCAGCTTGGTGGTGATGTTCTGCGATCTCGACTGCTCCGACTATTCCGCTCTTGCCTACTCCATTCTCACTACCCGTCGCCTTTCAAAGACTCGATTCTCGTCATGGTGCGCAAAACTGGCAGGCCGCTTGCTGATCCCAAGTCGTGGCGGCCTATCGCTCTACTATCTTCTTTCGGCAAGATTCTCGATAGGATCTTTGGGGATAAGATGCTTGAGGTATTGAGGGCCCACCCGGAACTTCTATCGAGTCATCAGTTTGGCGGTAGATCCACTACAGAAGCGCTCCAGTACTTGCTCACCATCATCTACAATACCTGGACCTTTCACCCTGGAGATGTCGTTACTATCTTCGGCCTTGACATGAGCTCGGCCTTCGATAGCGTCTTGCGCGACCGTCTCCTACAGAATCTAGTCGACAAGGGCTTTCCTCCATGGTACGTGACCATTGTCCGCAGCATGCTCTCTGACCGAACCGCCACAATGCGCATGCCTGGAATTGTTTCCCCTTCCTTCCGTTCCAACAGTGGGATCCCTCAAGGCTCACCATCGTCGTCGCTTCTGTTCAGCATTTTTTCTAACCCTCTACTGGAGGAGACGTGCACTGGTCTGCAGAAAGTGGAGGTTAATGGCCAATCCCACTGGGTGTACCTATACGCATTCGCTTTTGTCGACGATATCTACCTTGTTGCAGTGTCTAAGAGCTACGAGATCAACTGCAAAGGAATTGAGAAGCTTCACAGCTCTGTACAGGCTGTCGCTGCGGGGCTGAAGGTCGTCTTTGGGCCTCACAAGTACAACCTTATGCATATCATTGGGCCTCAACGGGATCAACCTGATACTGATTTCAGGCCCCAGATCCCAGGGTTTGATGGGAGCCCCGAACCAGAGCTGCGTATCCTTGGTGTCAAGGTTGATCAGAGGCTGAGTTGGCAATGCCATATTGATGACATCGTGAAGAAGGTCAGAAAACGGCTTGGCTATCTGTCGATCATCTCAAAGCGAACGACGGGGCCGACATTGCAGACCATGCGACTCTACTACCTGACCATGATCCGGCCTGTGATCACCTACGCCTGTGGCGCATGGTTCCTCCGGCAGCGTGGAGGCGACAAGGGGGACTGTTCCGTCAAGTATGGGTTGAACGACGATCAGATAAAACAACTTGTGTCGCTGAACAAGGAATGTCTGACGAAGCTTTCTGGCGCAGTCTTAGACACAGCATCTGAGATGATGGAGAAGGACCTGTTCGTTGAGAACATCGTGACTGTCCTTCATTCCCAAGCTTCTCAGCAACGGGTCAAGAGTCTCTTCTCCTACGACATCAGATGGAGGTTCATTGCACGAGACTTGTGGAAAAAGAGCAGGGCGCCAGCGAAAAAGAAATCGCGCAAGGCGACAGAGAACAAGGCATTGGCTCAGGCGCTGGAGGACGTGGCAACAGGCAAGATGCCGAGTGACAAAGAAACGGGCTTGGCACCAACAAAAAAGACATCACGCAAGGCGCCAAGGGGCAAGAAGACTCCGTACCAGATTTTGGATGCCGAGGCGAGAAAGATTTACGAAGCAGCCAAGAGGGGTCATGACGACAGAGCAAGAGCCAGTCCAAACCCCAACGAAGTGGACAAGGCTAAGGAGCGATGGGCAGACTACAAGAAGCGAAGCGGGATCATCAAGGCCTGGGTCAAGAACATGGACACTAAAGAGTGCGAGGCCAGATGGAAGGCGTACGTTCAGCAACGGAAAGACAAGGTGGTGTCTGGTGGTAGGAATCCCAAGGACCTGAGACTGCCGGTAGCCTTGACCGAGGACTGGGGGAGGAAGAACCTTGAGTACTACTCGGGCTTGACTCGCGCCCAGAGCACGATGTTATTCGCATGCAGGACTGAGCGCATCGGTCTCCGGAAGTATCTTCATGACTGCCGCATTCCTGGCTTTGAGTTCCCGACGTGTCCCTGCGGACGTTCCCGAGAGACCGTGTTCCACCTTCTTGTCGAGTGCCCCAGGCTGCGTGAGGCGAGAATCGGCCTGTTTCAGCAGGTAGGCCACAACGACTTCACAACACTTCTCACCAAGGACGCCAAAGTCGCCGCCGAATGGGCCATCTCTTACTTCGATCTCGCAATGTTTGACTCTGTCAGGAAAAGGTCCTCCCGATTCCCCGTGTTTCCGCATCTCATTTCGCCCCGCCCGGAGGGCTTTCTCCACACTCTCTCCGCCTCGCTTGCAGCAAGACGCCAAACACGTACTTCTCGCACCTCACGTACTGCTGCCTCCAACAATCCACGCCGTCGCTCTGCACCGCGCGCCTCGCCGGCGACGACTTCGACATCTCCTCAAACGCCTCAGGCGACGGCGCCCTCTCCGCCGCCCAGGCGAAACCCGACGCGCTCAGCCCGCACTACGATCTCCTACGAGTTGGAGCCGCTTGCTTCCAATGACATTTAGCTGCCTTCTATCACCCAAATTGCCGCATGCCTCTCCGCAACCGCACCCTATCCTCTGGCTTCGCGACGCATCATTAGCCTTAGCTGCCCGCCTCGCCGCTCGGATGGGAGTGAACGCAATCGCGTAGCATGACCACTATCTCCTTTGAGCTGGTAACGCCGCCGATCCCTTTCGATAAGGCTTCGATGCCTTCCACAAACACACGAATTGCTACATGCAGTTCAGAGCCGCAAGCTCGCCATACCCGCCGGCCACATTACGCCTGGCGACCCCCTTCGGCAACGCTTAGTTACCTTCCCTTCAACTCTGTACGAAACGCCGCCTACGTTTCATAGCTTCGATATCCCCAGCAGGATATAACCTTGCCGAGCTAATGGTGGAAGTCATTGCCTAGGCAGGTAACCTAACCAGTCCTTAGTGGAATGGTCCTCTTTCCCTCCCGCTCAATCCGGGGGGCCCCATCGTGTTAAAAATTATCGTGTATTGTAAGTCATTCAGCCCCCAGCGCAAGTCTTGACCATATCTGACCTTGCCCTCCCAGAATCTTATGAACTTGATCAGCTTGTATTCTCTCAGCTTTCGAAGCTTCCAGTCGGTACGCCGTGCCCCTCTTCTCGATGCGCTGTCGCACATCAGTTTCCTGACGCCTCTAGCCAGCCCGGATGTGACTCACCTCAGCAAAAGTATCGGTAAGCCGCAGTCCACTCAACCCGGCACGTCTTGTCGCTCATCTACTGACACCATCGTCAGACACTTTAACTTTTCCAGGTATGTATCGGCATCGCATGTCGCTCGAGCTTTCAGACACCGTTTCCTGACGCGCCCAGCCAGCCCGGATGACTCAGTCAACAGAACCTTCGGTAAGCCGCATCCTGCACAATCCGTTACATCTTTTCGCGCAGATACTGACACCATCACTAGACAGTTTAACCTTCCCACGTATGTGTCGACATGTCTTTCGATCCGACTCTGACTGACGAGCTCAGCACAGCACGCACATGATCCTTCTTGGAGTCATTCGACAACTCTAATCATCGGCTTTCCAATCACTGTACATATATCTGTCAAGCTTGCCATTGTCTCTTCCAGTTACTGATAAATTTCTCAGGGATGTATCCTTGCGCCTTCAGTGCCTTCCACAACGCCACGATTTCCCCCAGCCAGTCGCGATTGTAAGTAAATCGTTCTTAGACAGATCGCTTGCTGACTAAACGAAACAGATCCTCTAACGACTTTATGTTCTTCTTGTCGCCATCATTGAGCTTGCTATCCTTCTTTGCGTTAAGCCTTTGCAGCTTCTGTACCTCTTTGCGAGCAAAGTGTAAGAGGTGGCAAGCGTCTAGGTCGTGGGCAGCTGCACAGAACGCCTTGCAGCCGAACAGGGCAACCTGTAAGTTCATAGCTGCACTCTTCTTCTTCATCTCCTAATATAATGCTTCTTTAGCGACGCAGTGTTTGCCTTTAATATCGTTATTATCGAATAGCTCGATGGCTTCAGAGAGCGGCGAATGTGTTTCTTCTAGACCGATATGCCATTTAGCAACGCCTCCGAGGGTGCTGAAGTCGATGGGGAAATTGGTAAGATCTATAACCATGTTGGTGATTTAGTTTATGCGTTGCTAACACTTGTCCAGTGAATGTAGTCTTGACCCTCTTGGCTCGTCGAATCGCCGCCGACAACAGTTCGCTTTGCTGGTAGATCATCCCTCCCTCCCGATGCTTCGCAAGACTAACTAACCCAGGAGTAGCAGACATGTTGTTTGTGGAGTTGTGTTGTGGTGTGTGTGCAGAGATGCAGTCTCGAGGTACGTCGTCAACTTGGCTGTATACTCTAATGAAATACTAACTTTATCTTTACTATATCCTACGCGGTATTGAACGCCTCCCAGATAATTAGTTAGGGCTTGTAATAAGATTTATTGGTTATTGTGAAAGCTTATGGGTAAAAGCTTATATCGGGGAAAAAAAATATCGTGTTGTCATTCATTATCTGTGTTCGTAGCCTAAAGCTTAACCTTATAGGCCGCAGTCATCCCATAGTTCAATAGTACCCAAGTGAGTAGATTAGCATCATATGTGGTCCCTGATTCGTGTACGGTGTGACTGTTCTGCATTCCTTCCTTTTGACTTTGCGGCGCGCGATTGTCGCTTTAAAATTTTGTGATTTTGCACCATCTGGAAGTCCCGACATCGCTGTATGAGTCATCTTGTCTTTACACTCGGGTTATAAAGTGTGTCTCTCTCCCCCCATCAAACTCTTCGTGTGATCCACTATCCACGGCAGCTTCACCTTCGTCTAAACGTCATTCAGCACCATGTCTAGCCAAGAGCAGCCCGTCGTTCCAAAACCCAGTCTTTTAGGGCTGCCTTTGGAACTACGTCAGCAGATCTACCACGAATACTTTACGGTCGACGGCGGCTACGCTTACAATGGAGATTCCGGCAAACTCGTACAGACCAACAATCAACCGATTGAACTATCGCTACGTTACGCCTGCCGCGCAATCGCACACGAAACTGGGCAGTATCCGTTCACTCTCAACGCGATTACATTTTCGACTCTTTATAGGCAGGACTGGAGGAAACGAGCCGCCTCACTTAGTTACATCACGCACCATCACGTTACATTTCAAAACGCCATGCTTTTTCGGCTGAAACGACATATTAAATCTGAGATGTACGAGGATCCTGATGTAAAGTATTCTCAGTACATTCCCGCCATCAGAAACGGCCTAGCTAGGAGCATGGCCTCCTGGGACCGTTTCAGGAACAGTGTCCCTGACGATTCAGAAGATTCGGAGGATTCCCGCCCATTTAAGACCCTCCGTGAGTTGAGGTCCCAGCCAGCTTCCAGCGGGACATGGGGGCGTTCTACGGTTATACGCCTAAGTGGTACAGATGGTACTATTTTCTTTTCACGCGCGGCTGACTATCTTCTACGGCGGGTGGCCAAGAAGGACCCACGGGAGTTTTCACAAGCTATTGAGCAGATTCTACCTAGCTAGACTAATTCGCATTCTGTCTCGGAGTTCTTCAACTTAACCTTTAATCCATGGGCAATACCGTCCGCGGATAAAGTCAAAGATAAGTTGGAAGAGCTACAGTTAAGCTCTTTGTGGGAAACGCCAGAGGGATAGCATCAGATAGAGTGGACGGTCCCGGGGTATACTGGGCCCGAGTACCGATACCAGCAGAAGATTCGGTTCTCTGCTGCTGCTATTACTATCAAGTTCCTAGGCCAGATCTCTCGGGAACAGAGGCTCTGCATATCAAAAGTCATTTTAAATAAGGATAGGAATGCTATCAGCAGCCCCGAGTGCCATATACTTAGCTTGATCCCATTCTTCCGAGAGAATTCAAAGCTGAAAGTTGAACAGCGGCTTAATCTATGGCGAAACATCCTCATTAGAAGCGCCTACCTAGGGTTCAGAAACATCGCGGTAGAGGACCAGGGCGGCCTTGACTATTGGCCTGATGGCATTCCTTAGCCGCATCAAGTCAAGTCTGCCTGGTTTGCCGAAGCTGTTACTAACATTATCATGCATATCTCGAAAGCCTTGATAGAAGGCCTGCCTTTAAGGTCCTACTCTCTCACCATTGAGGGCGATCCTGATTCGAACTACTCAACTGAATTCTTTTCTATAATCATGAAGCCTTCTATCGTCTGGCTAACGGCCAATACGGACTGCGTTGTCCAAGGCCTTCTTTTGCCGCAAGAACATTGCAACTATCCATTTGACACCAGAAGCTCGGGCAACGAGACGACAATTTTTGCGGTCGAACTTCACTCTTGGCCAGCCCTGGAATTACGAGGAGATCATCGAAGATAACGAACACGACATCATCGACAGGTCATTAGAGTCACTCATGACTGGTTACGGATTTGAACCTGAAATCGTCGACGTTTCCACTGACATACTCGATTGGATGGAGATCAAGAGAGAAGACTTCCTAAGAGAAGAGGCACCAAAGGACGCGACCGGAGAGACCACGACCTAAGATTTCACGATATGATGGATGGGTTTTGGACTTACAGGATTAAAGGCGCTCTGGCAGCAGAATGTTGGCAAAGGTTTCTAGCTGCAAGGCATTCTAGACACAAAGATTGCGACTTAATTGGATGATCAATATTGAACAGAACTCTACTGTAGCACCAGGTACAGGGTTTTTACTCTCGGTACTCAAATTTGTTCCTCTGCCATCGACATACTTCCCTTGTGATCCGCACTTTGAGAACGACAGTGGGGCCTACAATGCCCAGGGAGGATCATGTCCTCGTAATATTACGTTCCACCAGGTACATGAATCCTTTGGTGTCCATATATCCATTCCTCTTTGGGTTATTTTGAGCTTCTAGTATCTAGTCTTCCAGCAGACTATGTGTATACTTGGCTCTTGAGTAATTTGCTGTAATTGAGGGCTCATCTCATCCACGGCATCTTCACCTCCAAAATACAGGATCAGAAAAGGTATGACCAGCTCTGAGTGGCCCTTGAATATCCAGTCGACTGGATCACAGCTGAGCAGCCTCTCAAGAACTAGCTTCGGAGCTGTTCGATCGCCAGGCATTTGACTTCACTATAATCGCTACGTTCTCTACGCTGATTCAAGCTCTCAGCCATAAATCTCAACTGCAAATAACACATCTAGTTCAGTGCTTTTTGAAGAACTAAGCCCGGGCTGGGAGATTTACCTCTGTCGTCAAAACTAGCAGTGGACATATCGCTGTGCTTTCTCGAATGACTTGATGGCTTTCTAATGTCCTTAATTAGTACAATAGAAGAGTTTGATCGTATACAAACTGTCTATAAAAGAGAGGCAGTCTAGTCTATCTAAATATGTATCGGGAAGAGAAGCCGAGCCATCGCCATTCCGACCCGAACCTCGGTTTGCGTAAACTACCTTACTGCCTACCGTCGAATCAACAACTTGAACCCGTCAAAAGACAAAGCCTAACAAACGATCTAGTGCTGGGACTGTGAGTGGATTGGCATTATTTAGATCGAAGCGACCCCTCCTCATCTGCACACCAACACCTCTTGCAGCCAAAACACTCCCCCCCAATCTTCAGAACTTCGAGCTCATCTTTGACGGCAAGTTTTGTAGATACGAATCTTCTTGTCACTTACCTCATCTCGCGATGGTATCAATGGCTTCAGGCAATTTCTTCAAGGCAGCGCTTGACAAAGGCGCAGGGCCGAGCCTCGGGTATTGGCAGATGATGCCCAGCACCAATATCTCACGCATGCTCGCGCAAACGCCCGGCTGCGACTGGGTCTTGATAGACTGTGAACACGGTGATCTTGATGGTTTGTGGTCAGAGCTGCACGCACTGGCTGGCACTGACTGTGAGCAGATCGAGATATGCGCCAGTGTGTCCCAGCCGTTGCAGCAGCTGGCGCATCGCCGATTGTGCGGATCCCAAGTACAGAACCATGGCTCATTAAGCGTAAGCTCTACTGATCAGATTTTTTGTCATGCCACTGACGGTTTTCCAGGGGCGCTGGATGCTGGTGCGCATGGGGTGAGAGACCCCAAGTGTGTCGAGTCTGGCCGGGCGCCCTACTAACACTCGTCAGATCCTCGTTCCTCTCCTTCAAACAGCACAAGAGGCTCGTAATATCGTAAAGGCAGCTAAATTTCCTCCCATGGGAAACCGTGGTTTCGGAAGCCCATTCTCCATGGATCGCTTCAAGCCCGCCCCTACATCGGATGAGTATCTCCAGCGGGCCAACGACAGTTTACTTACCCTTGTTCAAATCGAGACAAAGTCTGCTTTGGATAGCCTCGAAGAAATCGCAGCCGTTGAGGGTATTGACGTTTTATTCATTGGGCCTTTTGATCTCGGTGAGCCACTCGGTAGCAAGGCTGGCATTGCATTGCAGCTTACATCGCCTAGGTAATAGTATTGGATATCCGATCCTTAACGGTGTTGTGAAACCAGAGCTCAAGGTTGCCATTAACCGTATTCTTGAAGTTTCCCGTAAGGCAGGGAAGAAATGCGGAGTCTATTCGGCATCTGGGGAGCAGGCGAAAGGATATATCGAGGCTGGATTTGATATGGTTCATGTCGGGACGGACTACGCGATGCTCCAGCAGGCTACGAGAATTGAGATGGGTACTGCTCAAGGGAAGGATTTAGGAAAGCGCGTAGGCTATTAAAGATCTTTCGGAGACGTCAAGGTCAAGAAAGTTACCCACTTCGCAGTCCAGAGAATCGTGTAGGCGTGCGCCCTCACCTCAGTGAACTAATGGAGATAGCTGGCTTTCATCACTTCGACTTCCTATGCAAACATTAATAAAGCTTTGTAGAGGCTTCTTGACAATGTTGGCCGTGTTAGATTGTATGGCCTGGCTCTATATTGTACCTGCCTGTGTTCTGCAGTCGACCAGCAGTATAGTAGTCCAAGGATACGCAGGCCAGTAGTCGCACGCATTTGATGCATCGCACAAGTGCGCGCGGGAGACACTGTCTGCTTGTGCATACGTCGATGAAACAGGCAAGGTACTTTTGGTCATCCTGAGTTATATTTAGTAGCACAATAGCAGCCCATCGAAGAATAAGACTTAGGCCCCTCAAGAACTTCTCTCTTTCGCGTGATGGCAGTTAGCATGAGTTTCGAATCTAGGAAAACTCCAGATATAACATCAGGATCTCTAATAGTTACAACTGTTAAGGGTAGAGGTAAATAATTTGACTTTTTAAAAATTTGTAAATTGCATTGACTGAGGCAATTCACAGATTTTCGAGACACTGCAAAAAAAGGAGGGGAAAATGAAAAGTGTTTACAAGAAGCAAAATTATAAAGATGGCAGAAGATATATGGCAATATATGGCAGTATGTCACATGCGAACCCAAGTCCTACATATTACGTCTACCCATATTACATCTATCTACTGCCTATCTAATTTTACAGGTCACATTAGGTCGGGATTCGAACCAACAACGCTCGTTGTTGTGCCTTACCTTCGTAGAGCTCTGGACACCGGCCATTGCCATTCCGTCATTGCTCTACGACAATGGAATACAGAGCGGAATTGGTATATAACACTACCACTGGACCTAGAGGGGGCTGTGTGACGTGTCTGAAGCTTGTGTTGAAGTTAGTATCTGTTTGAGTTTATGTGTCACGGGGCTGGGGGCCATGAGGAGTGGCGACATCCAGCAGTTTTGAAACCCACGAGCGAGTAACAGCAGTCTTTTGATATGAGCTGATTGTTGCTTAGTGAGTTCTTCTGCGTATTGGATCTAGAGTTGACGTGGAGGTCCTGTAAAACGTCGGCCTAAGTCATTGTTCATAGGAGTATACGGACTTACAGTAACTACCCAGCAGAAAGAGATAGATTTTCATCTGTACCGTGGCCAGGTCTCATCTATGACCGGCGATAAGCCTCTCTGTGCAGTCTCGAGCAGCTTCATCCGCAAACCTTCCTCTTAGCACGCGCTAATCACTGTCATTCATCAGACTTATCAGCAACGTCTCTCCACCAGTCTCTCTACGGCATCCCAAGGCCCTCATTTACACCACCCAAGCTTCCTTGGATGTAATGATAATTTTTTTCAATGCAAAAAAGGGGCACGGGCGCCTGTTGCTTCCAGACTCACATTCCACTCTGGGGCGAAGCATGGCCAAGCACCGAAGCTCGTTGAGTCTAGCATGCATTCTGGTCCACCAAACCATGACTAAATTCTAATCGCATTTTTCTGTGGCCCATAGCTTTCACGTAATGATACTTCCCTTATTGGTCTGGCTCATGCACAGGAGAGGACTGTGATGACCAGCTATTTGCATCACCTAGACCTGAGTACTCGCCATGCAGCGGGCCTTCGTATCCTCCAGCAAGCACTAAATACCCTTTGAAGCTCTTATTACTACTTTCAAAAAGAAATGGCCTTTAGGAATGAAATTTTGAGAGCAGTGTCATTCTACCATTCACATGTCAAGCCCCTAACTTCCTAGGTACCACCACGTTGACACTCAAAGGGTCTGGACCAGGTGACTGGGAATTAAAGTCGGACCAGGTCTCAATTTACGTTAGCAGCTACTTTTATGCCTCATGTATATCTGATGTGGTGGTGTTGTGGCATCTACCGGGATGTGCCTGTCTCCGTTCAGCAAGAAACTGTTCATGGAACTTAGCTTTTGCGGCCGAGCTACCGCGTAAATAAAGACTTAGGTTCATATTCCAGGATCCTTTTATGTTATTCCTCTCCAGTCTCTCATCCACTACAAGCTAATTGATCACCAGGGCTCCTGGTGAGAAATGAAAGGCGAGTGTTGCCTTTCCTCGTGCCTGGATCTGTATCATGGCGTGGGCCATGTCTAGACTCTCAACTCGCCTCATCCTTGCACTATACGTTTCCCAAACCTTTTTATTCTCTCTGTTCTAATTAGAGTGATTCTTTATAGCATTAAATCTCTTATGTATGCCAGCATTCCTCCATATGGCGATCGGATCGATGGGGGAACACAACAAAGCGGACAATCCACAACTGTCGAATCGCAAGACCAACGATAACTTTGATCCATCCTCTATTTCTCAATTTATTTATGTCTTTCGTCTAATCTTCCTTGTCGGCGTCCTCCTCTTCCAGGCAGTTGTTGAAGGCTACAGCAATCGGGCTGATACCAGAGAGACGCTCGGACTTGTTACCAGCCGGTGAACCTTTATTTTGCTATGAATGGATCCAAGACTTGAAGCTAATGAAGACATTACTGTCCCTCTTCTTTCTCGACCTCTTCGTCGAGATCTAGCGTTTCTACTCTACTCTTGGGATGACTCCCACCCTTTAGGTTAAGCTTTAGGCTGCGAACATAGATAATAAATGACAATATAATGCCCTTTTTTCCCCGATATAAGCTTTTACCTACAAGTCCTCACGATAACCAATAAATTAGCGTTTCTATCCACCGCTTCCGGCTATTGGTTAGTGACTGACGCTGAGCGATAGCTAGCATGTTCATCAGCGTTACCTTGATATCTTCTTCCCCTAGGAGAAGCTCACGGAAGTCTAAATAGCGGCTACGGCATCTATCTACGGTATCTCATCATATTCCTACTCGGTGTTGTGGCTAGGCGTCAAACTGGTTGGACACAGACCCATCCCAACGTTGAGAAGCTTTAATTGAGATCACACGACATCTGCCATTAATACCTCACGATAGCTAACAAAATATGGCCCGTACTCATTTAAGTTCTCTGTCAACCTTTCAAGGTTTTTTTCTGCCTTCCGTTAATCAACGGAAGTGGCAGAATTAGATGTCTTGCCGATGAGTCACGCCTAAAGACAATCCTCGACACCAAAGCTTCATCACGTAACAGAGGCATTTTCTCCTGCACAGCTATATCAACCTCTCTTCATCCCTATATCTCCCACATCAAATCTTCATTTTGTTCACGACGTTTCAACAAATTCAAAACATGGCATCTCCAATTTTTGTCCTAGAAACAACTTCCCTCAACGCAATTCGATCACTCCCCTCAGACATCTACCTCGTCCACGCGACAAACTGCATCGCCGAGTGGGGAGCTGGTATCGCTGCCGAACTAGCGACGGTATTTCCAGCTGCTTGCAAAGAATACAAAAAGTTCTGCAACGCAGCCATACCCGACGCGTCGAGATGGCCATCCCGAAGTCTTGCGGGGAAATGCTACATTATTCCGCCTCAAGCTTCAGACACAGCGACGGGAGCTCCGAGGATACATATTGTATGCCTATTTACTAGTTATGGGTACGGAAGAGCGAATCCGAGGACTGGAAAGCCAGGGAAGGATGCTGCGGGAAAGATCTTGGCGCAGACGAGGGCGGCGTTGAAGGAAATGAGGGCACAGTTGGAGACTGCACAGGAACAGGGAACTGATGGAGGTCCGGTCATTTACTCTCCCATGTTTAACTCGGGAGCCTTCAAGGTACCATGGGGAAGTACGTCGCGACTTATCGAGGAGGAGTTCAGCAGTTTTGAGGGCCGGTGGTTGATAATGGCACCTCCATAAGATCATGACGGTGGTTTTGTTTCGGCTCGTTTGGCCACAAATGGGCCTCGTTTATATAGAGAACGAATAATTCCTAAATCAAGCCTCGCTCAAGATGGACTCAGCCATCCTTAGTCTCATATTTAACTCATTGGATCGAGGTCAGGCAATTTCTTCCCAAGTTGCAATTTGATCCGCTGTCTTGCAATCTGTGAATATAATTTCAGATACCATTTCGTTCACCAACAACCAACAAGCGACCGTGGTGTAGTGGTTAGCATTAACGCCTTCCAAGCGTTAGAGAGGGGTTCGATTCCCCTCGGTCGCAAACATACAACAACCCGCAAGGGTTTCCTTTTGCAACCTTAGACTACAGATCCTAAGTTCCTTATTATATTCTCCTGTTATCTTTTTGCCTTACAATACATTTGTTTCTTTTAATACTGTTATTATTATAATTCTAACCAAAGTGCTATTAAATTATAGAGTAATTACTAGTAATTTAACAGCATTAGAGCTCTTTGCAAATAAATTATCAAGACCTAGAGTATTCTTCACAACAGAGATCTAACTACAGGCTAATATGAAGTATTATTTATTTCTCTTTCTTCATGTTCTGACATTTTTCCTGCCTCATTCTGCCAATGAATGTTCGTGGTGAACCTCCATTGCATTTCCAATAGCGGTCGATCATTCTTCCGTTGAGCCCCACCTTCCCGCCTCGTCCACAAGGCTCCAGCTACCGCATCATCATCAAGCTCTCCATAGCCTCTCAAGCCAGCTCCAGCTCCATCAACAACCCCAATCGCTCTCCCTCCCATCTAATCGAAACACCACATCACATACCCGCCTCGATCCACCATGGCATCCACAGACCCCAAGACCACAGACGACAAGCCCGCTGAGCAGAAGCCAGAGCAGAAGCCCGCCGCCCTCGGCGAGGACGACGAGTTCGAGGACTTTCCCGTCGAAGGTACCACTCCCAGCACCACCGCTATAAAGGTTCTATAGAGTACTGATGCTGTCTAGACTGGCCGGAGGATCAGACCGAGGCTGCAAAGGGTAGCGGCGAGACAAAGCACCTCTGGGAAGAGAGCTGGGACGACGACGACACGAGCGACGACTTCTCACAACAACTTCGGTACGTACAAGATTTACGAATGCTGTTTGACTAGAGCTAATACCTGGCCAGAGAGGAATTGAAGAAGGTCGAGGCTGCTAAACGCCGATAGAGTTATGCTGTGATGATACCGCGATTCGAACCGAATTATAGAACGGGAAGGGCGAGTCTGTGGAAAAGACATATCAGATGAAATAATTAAATACCGATAGAGGCGCGCGAATGCGCCATGAAGCATCTTTGAACGTTTCGAATGGGCTGTGTTGCCGCCAATGCTTTCTACGTGACAGAAATATTGGGACGGATTCGTGCTGGAATAAGTAAGCTATTGTTGGCTTCTTTTAGGCCCTGTCATTCAGAGTCTTCACGAACCCCAGCCCGTAGATCGGAACTTCGCACAGGCACTGGTCTTTGTAGGACCGTAGGGTGATAGAATGGGAAACTCTTTAATCGTAAACATGGTTGGTCTGGCTGCAGCATCTTTTATTTATTCTTCTTCGCGAAGCAACACAAGCATGTGCGATCGGGACATTTGCAGCGATCTCAAACATCTGCAATGGCAAAGGCTCCAGATTCCACCATCGAAACCTTCTCACAAGGACACCAATCGTAACTGCTTCAATCGTAGGTAATGTTTTTATAGCGCTTTCGCGCCTCTGTTGGTATTTGGTATTTAATTATTTGATCTGTTCAGTCTTTGCTACAGACTAGCCCTTCCCGCCCGACCTTTTCCATTTTCATAGCCCGTCATCAACAGGTTCTCATAGACATCGTACTCCAACAGGTGTGGATATTATTTACTTACTCGACAGAGCGGTAACACCGGGCAGCTCCTTGCCCTCGAGGAGCTCCAAGCTGGCACCACCACCGGTGGAGACGTGGCTGAGCTTGTCCTCGACGCCGTACTTCTTGGCGACGGTGGCAGTGTCACCACCTCCGATGATGACGATCTTGCCGTCCTTCTGAACAGCATCGACGACGGCGTCGAGGGTAGCCTTGGTGCCGCTGGCGAACTTCTCAAACTCGAAGACACCGGCGGGACCGTTCCAGAGGATGGTCTTGGCCTCGGCGATGGCCTCCTTGTAGAGCTTGACGGACTCCTCGCCGCAGTCAAGACCCTGCCAGCCGTCGGGGATACCGTCCTTGTCGGTGGCGTAGCCAGTGTTGGCGTCCTTGTCGAACTTGTCGGCAGTGATGTAGTCAACAGGGAGGACGAGCTTGACGCCCTTGGCCTTGGCCTTCTCAACGAGGTTGCCGACGGTCTTGGAGCCAGCCTCGTCGAAGAGGGAGTTTCCGATGGAGACACCCTCAAGGGTCTTCTTGAAGGTGAAAGCCATACCACCGCAGATGATCAGGGTGTTGACCTTATCAAGGAGGTTGTCGATGAGCTGGATCTTGTCGGAGACCTTGGCGCCACCGAGGATGGCGAGGAAAGGACGCTGGGGCTCTTCGAGAGCCTTGGCGAAGTACTCGAGCTCCTTCTTGACGAGGAAACCGGAGGCCTTCTGGGGGAGGTCGACACCGACCATGGAGGAGTGAGCACGGTGAGCAGTGCCGAAAGCGTCGTCTGTTCTTGTTAGTGTCACGTAGCGTGGGATTGTAGCACAATTGGAGACTCACTGATGTAGACATCACCAAGGGCAGTCAGGCCCTTGCGGAAAGCCTCAACCTGAGCCTTGTCGGCCTTGGTCTTGTTACCCTCCTTATCCTTGGAAGAGCCCTCCTCCTCAATGTGGAATCGGAGGTTCTCGAGGAGGATGACAGCGCCATCCTCAGCCTTGTTGACGATCTCCTCGACCTCAGGGCCGACACAGTCGGGGGCGAAGGTGACCTTCTTGCCGAGAAGCTTCTCGAGCTCGGCGACAACGGGCTTGAGGGAGTACTTCTCGTTGGGGGAGCCGTTGGGGCGGCCGAGATGGGACATCAAGATGACGGACTTGGCGCCATTCTCGAGGGCGTACTTGATGGTGGGGAGGGCACCGACAATTCGCTGGTTGTTGGTGATGTTCTTGTCGCCGTCGAGAGGGACGTTGAAGTCGACCTGAGAGGGGTTTTGTTAGCTAGAGTTTGAGGATGGCGGGGTATTGTTGAGGCTTTTTGGCAAGGACGTTTGAGCCGTTGAGCTTGATGGCTACGGCTTGATCAAAGGCTAATCGAGGAATTGATTGAGGTATATCTCGTGCAATCAATTGCCTCGACTGGCTCGTCGTGACATCTGATGATATGATGCGGGGAGCTCAACCAAGCTCAACAGCTTCATTCCATCGCGGGGCATTTTTTTCTCGCCAACTTACTCGAATGAGGACTCTCTTGCCCTTGACGTCAACGTCAGTGATGGAGAGCTTGTTAGACAGCGACATGATTTCGATGCGAGGTACGAGTGAATGGGGATGTAGGTCAAGGGGTGATGTCGAGGAGAAGAAGGGAAGAAGAGAGTTTATGGAGGGGAGCGTCAGGTAGTAAATAGCACTGCTAAGTTTAAGGTGGGGGTCAATCTTCTCAACGCGATGACGCTGCCGCTGGCGTTGGCGGGGCTTTCGCGGCTGCACTCGCAGATGGTGGGATGATGAGGCCCGTGAATGCCCCTGGAGGAAACACTTTAGCCATGAATCTGGCGTGAGATGTCGCCCTGTCAGTGGACTATTGCCTATTCGTCTATTCATGATATGACATGATCGGTCTCGTCTCGGTCGGTCCACTTGTCAAATCACTAACTCGCTCACTCGCTCCCTCACTTCATCGCCTCTCAAGCAGCCTACCCTGAACACTCAGCCCATTCAATTTATGCAGCCGTCAACATCGCCGGGTTACGGGCATCGCCCTCCGGCTTCTGGCGACGCGGATGCGGCAGACCCGGAGAGACGCGGGCCGTAACTACACCTCCGAGAACCACGCCTTTTACGTACAGTCAGTTACCTTGAACAGTTGTAATGATATGCAACACGAAGACACATACATGCATCCATGATATGAGGTCTAAGCTAGCGGGGGTGGAAGCTGAAAGAAACCCATGTTGAAACAACATCGATTAGCTGATATGATAGTGAAATTCGATATGACACGTTCTAATTACTGTCGTGTCTATGGATATCAATGCTCGAAAAGTATTGCCACGATTTCTCAGACCACTGGATCTTCTCGGTGAATTATATCAAGACAGACCATAACACTCTTCACACCTTGCTAGGTTCCCTTGCAATCTCCATTTAACCTACACGTTGTCACCTCACGGCCGAGATTAATTCCGACCCGTCAGCCCTACAATCCAAAGGAATTACTCGATGGCATATCACCCCATTCACGTTTATTTATGATCAAACCCGTTTTCTTCAGATCCGCTACACGCGGCATTGAGTATAGTCCAAAATGCTAAAGACAAAAAAGATCGCCTCGTCCTGTCATTCAAGGATCTACCGAAACTCCAAACGAGACTCACGCTGTTATTCTAAACATGGTCCGTATCCCAACCCAACCCATAAAAAGAATGCCGTACAAGGTAATTGCCACAAAAGGGCCAGGCTCTCAAACCCTCAATTGTAGGTCCCAGAGCATGCCGAATCGTGCAGTATATGTAAAGAACCCCAAAACGCCGTTTCTATGTGACGACTGAAGCAGTAACAGTCGACGCAACTTCATGTTCATAATCGATCAACAGTAAGCTCGAGGCCAATTGAAAACGGTCACCAGGCATGATGGAATGAGCTTAGTCAGATGCCGAGTTTGTCAAGGACAGGTATGCTGTCCAGGCAATACCAATTGTTGACACAAAAGGCTGCATACGTGTTAGCGGTCTTGGTGTCTGGGGCGCAAAAGAATGACGTACCAGTTGGAACTGAACGGGCATCAACCGGAAGTTGACAATCTGCACAGCAGGCCAAACAACATAGTTGGCTTTAAGAGTTGGAATGTACATATCCCGAAGCTTGTTCGAAACGGCGCGACGGCCACCACCCTCAGCGATAGTCATGGTGGTGTAGAACACGGCCAAACCGAACGGCGCAAAGATTAGCTGATCGAAAGCAACGCGCTTCATGGCGGGGACGAAAGCGCTGGTCTTGGTGACGGGGAAGACTCGCTCGAGGAAGCGGAACCACTTGAATTGCACGGGAGCCATGCAGAAACCGTATGCCATGAAGCGTGTGAGCCGTTCAAAGTCGAAAGGTGGAGGAAGGCCGACCGAGTCGGGAATCAGGTCGCGATCGTAGAAGGGGTTCTTGCGGTCGAGCTCGTGGATCTCAATAGCAATGCCGTCATTCTTCTTAAGACCGCCTGGCTGACGGAGGGCTCGTTCGCGAATGGCGGTGATGGATTGGGCGACTGTGTCGGCGACGCCTCCGAGGATGGCGTTGGTGACCATCATGGTCATGACTGGAAGGTGTCAGGTATATGGCATTAGGGGAGAGGTGTTTATGGTAGCGTACGTGGTCGCTCGTCATAGTACGAGTTGAATCGAGCTGTAAGTCGTGCGATGAACGCCATTTCGATTAAGAAGACGATAGTGTGCAGAAGAGGCTGGTGATGATGTCGTCAGCGTCGAGTCGCACATACAAGGCCTAACAGCACAAAGAAGAAGGACACCGCGATTAAGAAAACGTGATGAAAGAGAAAAAGAAGAAAATAGAGAATGGGAAAAAAAAATAGACAAGTGCGTAAAGTGATATCATGAACAAGCGAAAAAAGAGCTTGTGGCGATGACGATAGAGCTGGACAGTAGTTGGGGAAAATACTGGGGAAGCTAAAGTGGCGACGGATCATAGAGTTGGAAAAAACAGGGAGGGCGTGGGTGAGTGAGCTTCGACTTACGATGCGACCGTAGATGTACTTGGAATTGATGGAGCGGATGAACCGCCTCTGGGTGAGTTCCCACGTCATATCGAGAAAGATTTGAGGCAAAAGCGATAAGAGATGCAGAGATAACCGGGGGGCACAAAGAGGGACACGATGCGATTTTATTCCCTTGACGGTGGTGATACAAGGGAGAAAAAGGGAAGAGAAACAGGAGTGAGAATTGATCTGCCGTGCGCAAGCGCTGAGGAATGACGGGGCGCGTCCTTTGTCTCAAGTGCGGGCGGGTTCTTCCCTATAAAAATGACGACAGGTATTCCACTCTCACGACGCACAGTTCGATCTTGGCGTCTTCAGGGGATGATGGGAGCCTCTTCGTTATGTCGCAGACCTCGCGATCGAGAGAGAAAAACGACGATATGAAAAGAAGCGTGTGTGTTGTTGAGAGAAGAAAGGAAAAGATGGAGGAACGGAATTGGGATGGATCATCAAGTCATGCGACCAGCCTTCAGTCTCAGCTGGAAAAGCAACAGTGCAGCGTTGACGATATTCGAACGGTGTCGCAGACAGCAATCTTCTCCACGTTTCGCCAGGCATTAATGGTAGCCCCTCATCTGGGCATTGGACTAACACTGTGCGGTGACCCAAACGCCTCTGACCTACAAATGCATGACTGGGAATTTACTTTGGGTACGGCCGTTACACGAGTGAACAATGCAACCGTATTCAATGCCGTAATTTGGCCTTGTCTTTTGGCTTTACTAACATCGTAGTATTGAAGTCTGTGTGCTGAGGTTAAGCGCTGATATTGAACCCTCGTGGTTTTGCGGTGGGCTAGTCTCCGAGGATCCCGGCCGGACAGAGGTTCACGGGCTGACGCCGGCTCCGAGGGTCCGTTGATCTGTTACAGAACTGCTACCAACAGACATGAGAATAGGCGAGCAGAGCAACAGCGCAATGCAGTTGGGTCTGCAATGAACTGGATACCGTTGGTGATGTTGGAAACAACGCACGGCAGCGATTACGTTTCATATTGAGGCAGTGCTACTCTCGGCAGACACAGGCGTATTGCCAGCCAAACGTTGTCGCAAACCAAGCTTACTATCGTCGTCGTATTAATTCTTGGGCCTATAAGCGCTCGCCAATAATTCAAGAACGGCTCTCACCGTACCTAGTCAGCATCCTTTCGCAGCCTGTTGTTTTATGTTTTTCTGATCACCCTTGAGTCCCGATCACGTGGCACATTACGAGATTGAAGGCACTTAGAATTCGCATTATCGCATCGTTTCTGCGCAAAAATGGCGATGCTGTTAGTCACTCTTCGGCCTTGAGGTTGTCATTTTCTCAGTCACGTCACAAAGGTTGTCGGGTGGAAGATTCAGGGTCCTCTGCTAATAGCCGTTCTAAACCCACGTATCCGCTTCCCGCCCATGATCGCCAGGTCCCGCCACGCCAACTTGGGTGACTGACTGCAAATTCCGTACGTACATATACCAAATGGGAGCATTTATGTCTGAGAGTGTCGCCAATGGGACAAGGCGGCTTCAAAATTGCGGGAAAGCCATGTTTTGATCTCTTGCCTCGTATGACAAACACCCCCTTGACCCTTGCTCCCTCTGATCACGACCTCAGACGCCAGTGCAAGAAGACTTCTGACATTGAATTGAGGTGCTAAAAATACCCAGTCTAAGATCCTATAAATCTATACTAAATTATGCTAAGTTTACCTAAACTTAAGGTACCTAAGGCTTTTTATCACTTCTATTAGGATAGGTAGACCCGATAGAGCCCCTCCTGCTCCTGCCTTGTCGATGGCCCCAAGTTTTATTGCATCCACTTGCCTGGCTCAACCCAATTCGATTCGCTCGACAATCTTTGGCACAACAACAAAACATCGCCCTAATGCGAACCATAATCACATTCACGAAATGGCGCCTCCCTGACTTCAGCTGCCTTACTGAACGCTTTTCGTTGAAGTCCAATCCCTGCAAGCTACATGCTGCCTGACGAATCAACAGACGCCGCCATGTCTGTACAGCCTGCTTCCGCAGCAGCTGAAAACACAGAAACCACGAGGCTCTCAAGAAAAGGGTCAGGGATCAGAAAACGCCTTGGGCAGAGACTGGTCGCAATCAAGATTGATTTATGAGTGTCAAGAATCTTGGCCCTCTCCGTCGTATCATTTTGAACTCCATCGCATCTCCTTCACCATGGCCGAACTTGCTGCCCTCGGCGTCGCAGCCAGTGTACTTCAGGTTGTCGATTACGGTACCCGTTTCCTCACCACGCTATACCAAGTCAGACAATCGAAACATGACTTTCTCAATAATCTTCAAAATCTACACTGCTCATCAAGCAATCTTCGCGATGCCCAGCATGAGCTTCAGACCATTTGTGACTCCGGATCAAACACTGATGCAGCGATATCGTCTCTCGCCAAGAAGGGTGAAGCCATTGCAAAAGAAATGCTTGACTCGTTGAAGCGCATCGAGGAAAATAGCCACGGGCGGAAGCGCGACGCAGTGATCAAAACATGGCTGATCATCTTGAAGGAGGACAAGTTGAAGGGCCTCGAAGGCAGGTTGACAGAGGTCAAGGCAGACTTGACCTTCTACCTGTCCGTTAATTTGAGGGCTACTGCGAGGGAGACTTTGGAGAACCAGATGCAGATGTTGCAGGAGATGCGCGACATGCGAATAGACATCAAAGCGATCGGAGACGCTTCGAGTACAAATGAAGTTCAAGCAGGCTTCGGTTCTCTAGCAATGGAGTATCTCACCAGCGGCTTGCATCAACGCCAGAAGCTCAAGTCTGAGCTCATAGATGCCTTGATCGCCCGTATCCACAATTCTGAGGCCAAAGCACCCTCAGATTCCTCAAGCATCCAGCTATCGCCACAGAGACGACAACATTTGGAACAGATTTTCATCTCGAGAGTCCGATATGGTACCATACAAGAGAGAGTGCTCACGATAAAGGAAGCTCACAAGGGAACATTTCGCTGGATCTTTAATGACAACAACGCTGGGATTCCACCGATTGGCTTCAAAGAGTGGCTTGCATCCGACGGTAGCCTCTACTGGATCACCGGGAAGCCAGGCTCAGGAAAGTCCACGCTGATGAAGTACCTCCTTCAACCTATTGACGGATCGAGCCATGAGAACAGATGCAACGGGTACTTGCAACAATGGGCGGGAGACCAGAAGCTCACGATTGCCACGTTTCATTTCTGGGCCATTGGGTCAGACATACAGGCGAGTAAAGAAGGATTGCTTCGGACCCTGCTTGTTCAGCTTTTTCGCGCGCACCCAGAGGTTATTCCACTTGTTGCTTCGTCGCGTTGGGAATCTTTGTGCCTTTTTAATGAAGACCCCAAGCGTTTGAGTCAAGAGGAATTGGAGGACATGTTTCGCCATGCAGTGAAATATGTCAGCTCCCGAGCAAAGCTTGCACTATTTATCGATGGCTTGGATGAGTTTGATGGTGATTGCAGTGCTCTTATATCCCTGGTACAGGAGTGTATCGCATCTCCAATTAAAGTCTGCGTCTCAAGCCGTCCTTGGACAGAATTTGAGAATGCTTTCAGAGAATATCCCAGGCTGAAGATGCAACATCTCACTTACGACGACATCACCAAATACGTCGTCTCCAAATTCGAGGCAAATCATCAGTTCGCAAGGTTTCGAAAACTACATCCTCAATTTGCTAGTACTTTGAGCCACTCAATCGCCGACAAAGCGAGTGGTGTTTTCTTATGGGTCACCATTGTTGTCGCGTCACTCTTGGCTGGGATGATGGCTGGCGACCGAGTTGAAGATCTCGAGAACCGGCTCAATCTCCTCCCATCAGAAATGGATGATCTTTATGGGAGAATGGTTGAGACTATTGATCCTTTATACCGCGAACATGCTGCCCAACTCTTCAGGCTGGTCAGCGCAAGCAAAGAGCCGCCTTCGCTGCGCATTTTGTGGTACGCGGACGAGGTTAAGTTTTTGGACCGGGCCATCGATGAAGACCCGAGTGCTGTCCCGCTTGAGGAGGTGATGGGCCGACTGGAAGATATGCGGCTTCGTATCGTCAGTCGGTGCAGGGGGCTACTCGAGGTTTAAGAGCTATAGATGAGCAGCATCCTGCAAAACCAGACGGAGGTAATGTTGTATACCTACACAGGACATTTGCCGAGTTTTTAAGGAGACCTGATACCCAGCAAAGGCTCGACATATTTCTTACCATGCCATACGATTCTGCCATTAGGATCGCAGCGGCATATACATCCTTAGCAAAGCTATGGAAGAGGCCAGAGGTACAAGGCGGATTCGTGATTCATCCTTTCCAGTTCCTCTTCAACGAAAGTCTAAACTATGCAGGGTATGCGTCGCCCTCCTCAAGGTGCCAAGTTATTCGTTTGATGGATCATCTACGGGAGGAGTGTGCCAGTCTCTACCCGTACAAGTATAAAGAAAACAATTTCAGGGATCCAGGGGGTACATGGCAGAGCAAATTGACAGGGATAGAATTGAACAATTACTGCTCCGATACCAAAGAAGAATTCCTCTGCCTGGCGACTGTGTTTTGCGTTGGAGAATACATTAGAGCCAAGGCAGATCAGCGAGGTCTTGTCATGGTTGCGAAACGGGATCCGAATAAGGAACCTTCGAAACTGGGGGAACTCGGGTGGAGACTACAGGGAAACCCCGAGCTGCTCAGAATCCCCCTTCTTTCGCTTGTGCCCCTAACAGACCCAAGAGGCGCATCAGTGATTAAACTATTACTCGACAGAGGAGCAAAGCCAAATAAAACGATCAAGCAAATTGGATTCCGAAGAACAACAGCATGGGAAGAGCTACTTGCTGGAGCTATTTCGATTATCGAGAGAAGCCCCGAGGAAGTAAACAGCCACGTGACAGAATGCGTGCATCTTATGCTGGAGCAAGGAGCCAAGGTGACTGTCGGGATAGTGCAGAGGGCGATAAGAATATCTAAGGAGTGTGTGATGCCTCGACATTTGACATGGATACCCGTCAGCTGGCACCCATATCTTGAGGATAGTGTCCCCAGGAATGCATCACTGGGTAGTACGTATGTACAGCTTAAAGTGATGAAGAAGGATCGGGAGGCGCCCTTCAGGGTCACATAGCCGAAGAAAGTCTCGGTTGAAGGCAATGGAACAGATTGAGGAGTACGGCAAACGAACAACAAAGAACTGCATTACGATGCTATGAATGAACTTGCACGACATTACGCAAAGGGTATACTCCATCCATTATCCGTCCGACCCATCCAATCCGAACCAATTCTATGACACAAGCCGACCGTCCATCCTATCCCATCCATGACCCTGAGAAGCAAGTTTACAGCTTGACATACTAAGACAGTTCATCTTCCTCATGCTCCCACTTTTTCGTCCCCAACTTTCGCATCTTCTTTGGACTGCCATTGCCATTGGCTGGTACCGAGCGTGCCTTTTCACCACTGACACGCATGCGCTCCAGCTTGCGTCCTAGATTGGTCATGCTATCGCCGCGAGATGACTTGGAAGAAGGCGCAAAGTCCTCCCGCTCCTCAAGGGGCCTGCGCTTGGTGGGGCTACGGGACGCGAGCTCACGCTTGAGAATACCGTTTTCGCGACGGAGGCGGTCCACTTCCTCTTCAAGGTCTTCGATAAGAACGTTTTCTTTATCGCAGTCTTCGTCAGAGGCGAGACCGCGCTCGAGGACTTCGACTTTGCGGTCCCAATGCTCCTCGGTACGTTCTTGCTCAATGGCCATGGAGTTCTTCCAGCGGGCCATTTCTAGTGCAAGACGCTGCTCAAACTCCATGGCGCACTCTTCGCGTATGGCTGCCTCGAGATCAAGCATGCGGTCCTCCATTGTTAGAAGGTGAGCTTCAGCTGCGACGCGTGCTTCACTTTGGCGATCGACTTCTTCCCGCAATTGATCCGCTTCCTCACTAAGACGCGCGATCTCAAGCGCTGCAATCTCCATCATCGCACGCTCATCTGAGCTCATTGGTGGAGAGAAGTTTCTATACGATCCTCCGCCTGCGGGCATGAACGGTCGTGGGTGGGGATGTGTTGGACTGACGGAGCGATTCTGAGCCATTTGTGGTGGCTGGGCGAGGATGGTTGTTGTGATTGAGGGAACGCGAGGGACTGTGACTTCACGAGCAAGGGCGCTGTATCGAAGGATCTGGGATGTGGCGTTGAAGTCGCCGCGAGGGTCGGCGGTGACGATCATGACGCCTCTTTGAGGGTTGCGGCGAGGAGCTTGGGAGTGAGAGGTTGAGGATGAGGGGAATGAGTTTGAGAAGAGGAGCTCGGTAAGTTTGCACTGTCTGAAGGGAACAATGTTGGGCTGCTGCATGTTAGTCACTGTCCATCAAACATCCCTTCAAGAACTTACCTTGCTTGAGCTAGCAGCCTCACTCTGGGTTTGCAGACATTGCCCTAGGTACATCAAACTCTCATTGATCTTACCAGCCTCTGCAAGAGTGGCACCCGCCGTCTTAGCTTCGCGCGCACGCTCACTGCCCGCCAGATCAACAATGGTGAATCTATTTCCCTCCCAAGGGCCAGGTCTTCTGCTCCGGGTTCGCTTCTTGACTTCAAAGACAAAGAATCCATGACTTCGGCTCGAAACACTGTTGCTGCCAGTACCAGTAACTCGTCGCTCCTGCAGACCAGTCTCGACGACCGTCAGTGCTTCGTTGTAGCTGGAGCAAATGACCTTTCGAAGGCCGGCAACAACTTTTCGGTCTGGTGAGAGCTCTGTTGACTTGAAGAGTAAAGGACGTCGTCGCACTTCTTTTGTGGAGCCGGATTTGACAGCGGGAGTGAGGAGATCGTAGATTCGGTCATTGTGCACTTCGTACATCGAGATGATAACAACATATTCGGCCGAGGGATCGCAGGAGATGTCGATATTGCTCACATCAGGGAGCTGAGGAAGAGCCGAGGGGCGCACGGTAATTCGTCGAGGTGGTGGGGACATAACACCATCGGGCTTAACATCATCTTTAGTAACATTCTTGACACGAGTTGAAGTAGTAAGAGACATGAAATGTCGAAGACCCCGCTTGGGCGTCTTGGGACAGTTCAGCGCGTTTGGAGACGCAGGCAGACTTTCGAGAGGTCTTCTACCACGCTCAGAAGAACGATCCTATCGCTCTTTGAGACGTCGGGTTTCCTCTGCCTCGCTAACAAGCCGTACACTTTTCGGACTTGATGCACAGTCTGCCGGGAACGCGCCTGGGAGGTTGGCGACCAGCTTGGAGGCGGGGATGTTGAGATAGGAAGGCTTTGGGGTCTGTCGTACAAGCATTGGAGTACCAGCGCGTGAAGGTGCTCGCGAAGCAACTGAGTCGCGAAAGGGAGGATCGAAGAAGTGGGACGCGGTTGTTAGGGAGGACTCGGCACCATCGATAGCTTGGAGGGAGTCTTGAGCTGTGAAGGCGGCGTTGGGATCGAGAATGTTTTCGCCGATTGAGCGGAAAAGGACGTCCATCGTGAGTTGGGTCAGGCCGCGTTGTGTCTTGCTTCCGAGGATCGTATGTGTCTTCGTTTATTAGTCTTGTTGTTTCACTGCTGACATGGTACTTACCTTGCCGGAACCTGTCACTCCCAAGGTAGCGACGACAGCATCTGTGCCCTCGCCGCCCTCAGGCGCCAGTACGCCCTCAACGAAGGGGACGATCTCTGTGCAGTGAAAGACATCGAGCTGGGTTGCATCTTCCTCAAAAACCTGGGTAAACGCGAACTTCTCAATCGCCCTGCGCCGATCTGTAGGCGGGTTCAGAACAATATGCTTAGGATGTGAACCTTCCTCAGCGGGTTCAACATCAAGAATGCGATCGCCATCACCATGTCGCGTAGGCGGGGGCCGTAGCCGTAGATAAACCTCAAACAGATTATGAGACGCTTTTCGCTCCATGATGCTGCCAAACACGATGATATGCTTTTCGCTTAAACGAAGATGCAGGAACAGAATGGATCGTGGACGAGACTTGTTTAGGACGGTGGATTCATAAACGGAGCGTTGACGTTACAATCCTGGTTAGAGGTCCAGTGTTTACTCCAGGTTCCCTTGGCGTGCTGGCTGGCACGACAACGGCTGAAAACGGTTGGAGGGGCCGGTGATAAGATAAGATTAGATAGCATAAGCGCTTTGGCGCGCGGGTGCTGCACGGGCCATGCCGAAGCTTTCACGCCATCGAGAGAGTAAAAAGTTGGGTGGAGCTGAGTTCTTCCTCAGGCTTGAGTTTGTTCTGGCCTCAAGGACAAGGATGTAAGCCAATTGCTTGAGTAGTGTCACTTGAAGTGGTGCATCGTAAGGTTCAAGTGGTCACAATTATTTTTTGTCGCTATTCATGTTCCCAGCTGAGCTCAATCGGAAGATTCCTTATCGAGAAGTGTGTCTGTTCTGCGTCTGCAGTAAGCTAAGATCCTATTCACATGCCAGTCTAAAGCATGTCTGAAGCTTCGTGGCAGCTAGGATGCGTGGCAGCAAGAGTCATCAATGAACAAGGGTGTGCGAGTGTAACTAACGCAGCCAATGGCGTAATCTCCAGACCTGCTGATTTCCTGGGGGACGTTGACTCACCCAAGAGTCATAGCCATATCGAAACGTATTTATGTGTTCATAATGCAGAAGCTTTCACCTTAATTTCGACTGTGCCGCTTTTCTGTTACGCTCATTGTCGTAACGAGTAATGCCGAGGCCGCCATTGGTAAAAATCTCTGAGGTAGATATTGAAGAGGGGCGCCGTTTACTGGGCAATGGCTAAGTTGCGCTACGAGGAGATTTTGACTCTAAAGAATTGGTCTGGCGCTAAAGAGTTTTGATGACGGAGGTGCTTTTCGAGAAGAAGAGGGGAATGAGGGGCTGGTTGAAGTCGACAATGGGAACAGCTGCAAGGACCAGCAGATGTCGTTGAACTGTGAAGAAGACAAGATGTACAGTGTAAAGGCCATTGTGTCTCAAGGTACTGCCTATGAGCAGGCATCTGGAGTTGAGCCTAAAAGCCTAACCGCCAGAACAACATGAAGTGAAGCAAGCTTCTACTGTCGGTCAGTTCTCTACGTAACCATCTACAGAATTCGGTATCCAGGCACGAGACGGCGCGTAAGACTCTTAGCTTGCCTTGCCAGAAATTTTCTTCTCCATTGGACGTTTCTGCGTCGAGACTGCGGATACTGAGTAATTAGTCCTCGTCAACTCCGGTTGTCGCGTAAAAACTTTAGACGACAGAAAAAAAAAAACAAAGTTCAGCAATAACCCCACCAGTGTCCGTGGCAACATCATACAGTAGAAGCTTAGGAACTTCTTATTATTTTTCGGGGACCGAGGTATCGGTATCCATTTTCTGGCGTTATTTCTAGCATAAGCGAGAAGACTGACGATGTTTCTCGTCTGATGCCGATGGGAGAGTCAAAGAAAGGGTATCCTCTTTTTATTTTTTTCTGGGGCGGATTTCTTTTGAAACTGGACTTTTTGGGAGTTGGCATTGGCCACTGACATAACCGCCTGCGTTTGCCCCTGTTTGACAGTGGAGTGCTTTCTCGCTGCGGAGCTTTTTGGAAAAATGCTTGGCCTGCTGTTGGAGGGAGACGGAGGAGGGGTCTTTGATTTCTTGCTTGCGTATCCCGGCTCCAGCGTCTGTTCTGCCGTGCATGAAGCATGGGTCAGTGTCCTCAAGACAAGAGATCATTGGGAATGAAACGATTGAGCTGTTCTCGTGACATTGAGGAGTTTGGGAGGTGCCTCTGGTGGCATGTTGCAGAGCGATATGCAGCCACGGAACGTACTGTACCTATGCTGTAGGTACTGTAAAGCCACAGCACTTTCAACTGTCTCTTGTGTTACCAAGATTAGATTGCTCCGATATCTAATATCAATCTCTTGCATCTCTCCCTAGTCGAGTCCTACGTACATCAGATTGATGCTCCTTGCTCCCTGTCGTGCTTCCATTCTGGAGCCTGACTGGTCCCTTGGTCGTGATTTTGTTCGCCTCACGGACCAGGGAGCCTCCACTGGGGTAAATGTTTGAAGTCAAGTCACTCATGATTCAAACTTGGTCCCAGCTCTTTGTTCTCAACTTTCGGTGACAGGCAAGCAAACATCTCAACTGCAGCAAGCTCTATATAGCACACGTAGCATCAAAACAACACAGAATTAGTCTCCTTGCAGTGTCTCACTCGACACATCAGCGCTTCTCATTGTACAATTGTCTTCCTGTCGTTGGGCTTCTTCTGCGCCTGCAAAAAGCGGTGACGGTATTGTCCCTCCTAAAATAGACTAGCTCATAGGTACCTTCCCTCCCGCACTGCACGCTCCATCGGGTCCACTTCTAACTCAATCATCAATCACCCCCCGGCACTGCCTGCCTCGAGACACTTTGCCCAATCAGGATCGTCCCCACTTAGAAGACGGAAAAAGTTTGGGATATTTCTCCCCCCCTCGCTCCCTCTCTTCTTCCTCCATCACCAACCCCAAACCCAAACCACAAAAGACAACGAAGTCGACATTTTCCAGCATCACCCAGAGAATTACCCCTACCAAGAACAAAGTCGAGTAACCATGCCTTCGGCCGTCGCTGAGCTGTAAACGCCCACTGCGGGCCGTGGCTGTTTTCCCTGTCCCGGCTCGCAGTCCAGCAGTTCTCCGAGTTAACCAGTCAATACTTCTCTCTCGACTTTGATCTTTACAGGCTTTCCCGCTCTTGGAGCTGAATGCTCTACCGAGAGTCTGTCTCTGAAACCAACGATTCTGCAACTTGCCCGATAGTCAAGGGCTTTTGATACAGTTACTACCATTCTACTCTCCCGACCACCTCCCTACCTTTCCCTTTCTATTAAAGACGATAAAAACAACTTGAAAGTTGTTCGAAAGCGTATACACGCATATATCTACTACAAAACAAGTCTTGCATTGCATTGCTAGAAAATATCTGATCTGAGCTTGCTCATCTACACTACTCTGAAGACAACTCGAACGATCATTACAAGTAGCATACTAAACATCTTTTTCCAAAATGTCTCGCAATCTCAAGCAAAAGTTTACAACCCCGGTCAAAAAGACCAAGACCGCCCAGCGCCGCCGCCGGGTCTCCGACACTCCTTCTGCTTCTTCCCTAGACCTCTCGGACGACGGCGGCTACTCTGCCGTTGAAGATATTAGCGACTCTTCAGACGACGATGAGGATGATGTTGCCGCGGCCGAGGAGGAGAACATCCTAGAGGAAACTCATGTTCCCCCCACCCCACCACAAGCTCCTCGGCCGCAACCCACCATTGAGGAGGATGACGAAGAAGAGGAGGAGGAGGAGGAGGTAGAACAGGACGACGATGAGCAAGAGGGCCTGGATATTGAAGATGATGACGCTGCTAGCTGGGGAGGCATCGTTACGGACGATGAGGACCAGCCTGACGTCTACCAAGACGCCAATATCTTCGGTGAGGAGCCTACAGAGCGCCACGTTCACTTCGACGTGCCCTCCAGCGACTCTGACTCTACCGACACCGAGGATGAGATTCAGGGTTTCTTCCCTGATATCTTTGTTTCTCAAAACAACCTGGATCCTGCTTTCCGCCGCGAGATCGAGAACGATCCTAATGAGTCTTCTGACTCGGGATCTTTCTGGGACTTCAACAACCAATACGGCGAGCAAGATGATGACTCGGATGCCGAGGAAATCTTCCGACAAATTGACGATGACACCCCTATTGCCACTCCAATGGCCTCCCAGCCAGCCACTGCTGCCTCTACCCCTCAGCCCATCCCCTTTGGCTTTGAGGAATCCACCGAGCTGGATGGCTACGAGAGTAAGTTTGGCTATATGGGAATCATTACCTGTACTAACATGCCCAGCTGATGGTGATACCACCGAGGAAGATGAACCCGAGCCCATTGTACGAAGGAAGACTCGACGCCCTTCCAAGCCCATGAGCGACATTTCCGACTCTGATGCCGACAGCCCGGTCAAGGCCGAGCGTGGCCAGCCACGCTTAGGACGTTATAACCTTGACCGTTCCGACAAGAAGCCGATTGCTGTCCTCAACCCCGTCACCGGAAAAATGATGATCTTTACTCCTCATCGGCGCCACCAACTCGACCTCTCCCCCGAACAATTTAACTTTCCCTGGGGTACTGAGGGGCCCGAGTCACCTATCATGAGCAACTCTGCAAACCTAATGCTCAGCGCCATGTTCTCCTCCAATACCTTCGGTGACTTCTTCAACACGGCTCAGGTTATGGGACCCGCTGAGGCTTTCTTCCCCTTCCCCTCTGAAGCCAATACCGCCGACGAGAGCTCAACCGCGCCTAGCATGCAGGACGACGAGGAGGAAGACGCTGAACTCAATTTAGACCTCAACGACTTCATCGCCTGGGAGGAAAATGACTCTTCTGGTGATGAAGAGGGCGACAACTGGGATCCCGCATCTACACCTGCGCGACCCAGCACAGCTACTAGCGAGAAGCAGGCCCTTAGCCACATCAATTCCGAGACTGTCGGAGCTTTCCGCCGTAACCAAATTAACCAGCAGCTCATCCTGAGTAACCAGGCTACCCAGGACTCACTCGCATTCAGCGGTCCCTACAACTACACCGCACTCAAGGGTCTCAAATCGGACCGCTTCGACACAGCTGCAATTCCTTTAACACCCGCTCGTCGCCACAAGAGACAGATGAGCGACGCCACACGCAGCCCCCTTGAATCAATGTCTCAAAAGCGCAAGGCCACCACCGAAGCTGGCAACGGCCACAAGAGGCATAGAAGCATCTCGGATGTGAACTATCTCCACATCTAGTGCAATGCACACCCACAAAAACGTACGAGGACGGCATAGCCCACTGCCGCTATCCCTGGCCTCGACACTACTCTCTTTTTAACAATTTTTCCTTGATTGTTTTTCTTTGGGTTGAATGGACCCCTTGTTCACAGCGTGCTTGCTCGCGCCCCCTCCCCCAAGGGACAGGGACGATGTTTTCTTTGGAGATGATACCCCAGCAGCTCCAGCCCGGTCGAAAAGCCGGGTGAGCGTATCGGAGGAATCAGCGACTTGCCTTGTTGTACTTGTAATGGTCAATCAGGTGGTCGGGCAGGTATTTGCTCTGCGAGCGAACCTGCATGGGACAAACAAAAAGTTCTAATGCCGCTAATGCTTTGATGTTCTTGATGTCGGATATGGGCAAAAAGTTATCAATTGTCTTTCGTTACTGGTGTTTTCGTCCATGGGTCTAGAGGTAGATAAAAACCGTGACCAAAATTTCATTCAGTGTTCTCAATACTTTGATACGAGTCTCGTAATTGCCTCTTCTGTAACCTGATGTGAATTGAAGCTGTCGTGCAAGACGGCCTCAGTCTTTGGTGGGGCCGTCATTCGAGTCCTTCGTTCTCACGGCTTGCGACGTCTCCTGTAGCTACGCGATGAGTACGACGTGATACAATGCATGTATGAGATTTTCAACCCGTTCAATTGCTGCCTGCTACTGCCCATTCATCTTAACATAATGCCTTTCCGAGGCCAAAATAATTCTCATGTCGCGCCAGGGCCTGCTCCTTGCGACTGGTGCAGTGACCATCAAGCGCCTTGGGCTTCTGGCTTCGGTGATAATTTAGACATTTGTTACACCCCAGAAGTCCCTTTCGCCATGACTATGACTCACAGCTTTGTGCAAGGTGAGAACTATGGTATGGAAGCATGCGTCAATCGAAGAATACACGCCTACGCGAGACAAGAGAATGTAGAACCTCGATACTAGATGACAAAAGGAATTGGTCAATCTTAGCATGAGCTTAGCGTGCTATTTGACGGGTTTATTTGGGCACCTCGGTCTTCAGTTTACTGATGTTGACTCATGGATGATCTCTGACTTACTGGTGAGTCATTGTCCTTTGCCAATCGACACCCGCTCTAGAGGCGTCGCTAATGGCCTACGGACAATCTGCTCCATGATGCTGCCTGAAGTTGGCTTGTGATGAGCCACCTTCCCAGGTCAATACGACGATACTTCAATTCCAGGGCGGATGCTCTCTTGCAAGAGCACAGTCAGTAGTAAAGGAGCTATCGAAAGCCCACCCATTACCACCGCCACCTAGTGATGGCTTATTTTCCTCTGGTGTTGGTGAAGCTGGCCATCCTACAGCAAGTGGTGGCCCCAGTGTCAACGACCTTGGTATTCCTGTAGTAAAATAATTGGACAGTACCACATTGGAAAACATCTGATAGTGATGGCGCTGCTTTTTGGGGGTGAGCCAATCTACCATCAATCAGTCCGTAAAGCGAATCCCATGGATGAATACCATCAAGATCCCTCGTTAAAAATATGCTATCAGGCGTCAACGAACCAAAGCTGGCTGTTGTTCCTCACGACGATGCCGTGCTCAGTGTGTCCCCAGGTAACTTTTATGAGAAGACTTCCTCGGCTGTGGTGGCCATATTCAATCAAAGAATTAAAGACTTGCTGCCTGCTCAGGCATCTCAGTTTGAGAATGCCATTGTAAAGTACCTTGCCGCCCGGGATGCCTCAGCCTTACCGGGCACAGATGTGGGTCTCTCGGCCGACTCGGCTACGTACCGCCGACAATGCAACAACGACACCCAAAAGCGTGACAAAGAGGGGAACTAACGGATGACACCTGAGACAAAACGAATACATATCAAGGAGGTTATAATTATACTTTGGCAAGTTAGTGTTACACATATGATGAACTGAGCGCGGGTTTGGACGTGCAAATCTTGGTTCAGCACCAAATTCGAAGTTGATCGAAATTTATGTGTATAGATTCAAATAACAGCGCTAAGGTTCAAAAGCACGGTCCGGTGTGCTGGCGCAATGGTAGCGCGTTGCTTTCCGGTGGCAAAGGTTCCAGGTTCGAGTCCTGGGTACATCGAGATGTTTACTTTTTGGTGCTGTGGTGTCTCGAGGTCATCGCGGCCGTGGGGGGGAGCAACCCCTGGTCGACATGAGGTGTTGGAACGACGGCTTTTCTTTTTAAGATACACATAAAACAGTAAGGCCGCATGATTATCTTTTGTTGAAAGGCTCAATGGCTTGGGTTGAGTTGACATCGAATGTGGAGATGCAAGTGAGACAGATCCATGTGGGGAAGATCACCGTGGTGTTGACGCCCCAAACCACTTACGGGCATGCGATAGACATGCCCGATGTCACTTAATTATCATCAATCAGTTTGAACTGAATTGACCGTCTGTTATCTAAATAATCTAGCTTTCCTCAATCGCATGTGAGCGAGGGTGAATCTGATATGGGAACAGGTTCTGAGGCGCCACCATCTCATCCCACCTCAAAGGACTCCACATTGAGCTTTGTAAAGTTTAGGACGCCCAGCCTAAGCTTAGACTAAACTCATCAATAGACCACATCGAAGGAGACAAACAGAGTCAGACTTTTACAGATTTATTCTTCAATCGCTCTTGTGCGTACGTGCTACAGCAGCCCTCTTATCTATATGGGTATCAATTACCATCCCAGCACTCAAGCCCCTTGTTAATCCTCTCAAGCATACTCCTCAAGACCATACTCAGCATCCATCTCGGGATCATCCTCATCATACCCGCCTCCAAACTCATCACCTCCACCACCAAACTCTTCACCATCACCATAGTTTTGCGTCTCATCGTACTCCTCCTCCTCAAACTCTTCTTCCTCCTGTGGCGCTTCGGGCTCGTCCCCAGCGACACTCTCGTCTGGAGCTTCGCTCGCACCATCCCCGCCTTTTGTGCTTCCTGCGACACTGGTCTTGCGACTTGTAGCTTCTGATCCAGGACCCCCGAGGTTGGGCATGTCGAAAATGTTGCGGATGGCGTCGTAGTTGATCCTCTTGGACCAGGCGCGATCTTTGGCGACGTTGACGGCTGCCTCGGCGGCTGAGCTGGCGGGACTGGTCTGGCCTTCGCCCATTCTAGCTCGCTTACGTCGCTTTCGTGTTTGCTTTGGTCGTTCTGCCTCCACTTTCTTGCGGAACACCTTCTCTTGGTGTTTTCGTAGCCATTCCTTGTTCTGGTTCACCCAAATCATTTCCTTGATCTGAGCCTCCTCGGGCGACAGCAAACAATTGTTCACCTCGGGGTCGTCGGCGAACTCATCCTCTGTGACATCCGCCGACATGGAAACTTCTTTCTGGGGCCGTTGTTGTAGGGCCCAGACGGTGTGAATGCGCGCTCGTTGCTCGGCAGTAGTGTAGGCCATGGCGTGCTCGTACGTTAAAGGGTCATTGAAGATCTCCTCAATCACGCCCTCTAGTTCTTGCTCATCCTGCTCCCATTCCTCATTGATGGGCAATTGCGGTTTGCTGCCTTTCCTTTGGCTTGTCTCTTGTGTCCCGTTCTCCGCAAGCTCCTCGTCCATCGCATCTCCAAACTCTTGCACCAGGCCATCCAGGGTCTGGACATTCGTGTCATCAGCCTCAGCTTCTTCATCCTCTGCGTTCTCATTCAGCCTGTTGACGAGTGATGGGTCTTTGGCGATCTTGGATGGTATAGGCGGGATAATAAAGCCATCATCGTCACGGCGGTATTCGACAACAGGTGCCTTGGAAAGATCAGCGCCTCCCTCTATTAACCGCGGATCAATCTTGTCGGCCAAATTGTCATCTTCCTCCTCATTCTCATCACCATCAGCATCTGTCGGCCTCTTTCGCTTCTTATTCTTCGCCGCCAATTGCTTCTTGTATTCGGCTGACTGCCTGTAAAAGGAAGGCGGGTCGTGAGAGCTCTCCAGGAAATCCTGCTTCAAGAAATCCTCAACCGACATGCGACTAGACTCGGTGACCTTGAACTCTTGCAGACGGTTCTGAATCGTGTGATTGGTGACTTTGACGATGTAGACAACCTCTCGCACGGTTCGTCGAAAGTTGTGCATTCGTGCTGCCATGAGCAGGCAAGCTCCACAGATGCCTGATGGTCGACGACCCATGACCATCCAATCTCGACTCATTCGCTTGACCAGACGAACAGCGTCCTCAGCAACCTTGGCCGTGTCTTGGTGAAACTCCATCTTTGTCGCAAATCGCCAGATAAGATCCTCCGGATACACTGGAATAAGACCGTCGTTGCCAATTGGCACCACCTCGTTGAGCTTCTTGAAGATGCGACCCAGCTTAAAGACGTTGAGTTGCACCAAGTCCGCCAGGTCAATAAGCATGACCTTGCACGGTGGCTCTGCTCGACAGGCCGCGTACAGGCAGACAGCCGCGACGCTGGCCAATGTACGACCTTGGATGAAGTTTGCGCTTGACGCCAGCTTAAAGACTTGCGTTCCTGCAGTGACCAGACTGTCGCTGACATTAAGCTGCTGCGCATAACCCTGCATCAACCCTTTTGCTTCCCTGATGCTCTTCTCTCGATCCTCAGATCCTCCAACTCTTCGAAAGGCAGGGCCCATGCTTCGCACGCCAGCTTGATCAGCACCAATGTAGGAACCATGAACAACAGCAGCACCCGAAGATGATTCTCCAAAGGTGACTTCTGCCACGATATTACTATCGTCAGAGATACGACCGCAAGTTTGACATGTCCCATCGACGACATTGGGTTTTGGACAGGCTTTGTTCGGACATTGTGGACGATTCGGTTTCGCTAATGAAGCATTTCGATTTACAGCAGCAACTCGTAGGCTATTTGAATGGGCAGCTGCATTGGCGGCTCGTCGTTCTTCTCGCTCTCGCATGGCGCGGACGGGGTTGGGTTTTCCGAATCGTGGTTTGGCAGCCAGGCGCCCAGTAGGCCCCGACTTTGGTGGTGTGAGAAACGACGACATTGTGAAGATATTCGCAGGATCGTATAATTTAGTTGGAATAAATTGAATGTCGTTTCGCTATTGATCTTCCTTCTCTCCCCCAGGCCGACAAACGGCCAGATCACTGAGGCTATAAGCACTCCAGTGCCGCGGCGTCGAAAGCGTCTGCTTGCGACAGCTCTTACAGAAAAAAAGATTATCGCGATAAGGGGAGGCGGAAAAAGTAGAGGGATGGACGAGGTGAGATACTGGTGAAGAGAAATCGCGAGTTTTGGTGCCGGCGGGGTTTTTTGGGTGGGAGAAATGAGTGTCTATGGTCGAGTGGGGAAGAGTTTTCACTCGCGTGAGCAAGCCCCTGCAATTCGACTGAGTCAGAGGGCCAAGGCAGTGACGGTTCGAACACCAGTGCGTGATGTTTTTGGAATGGTCTTGACACTGCGTAGATGATAGTGAGCAGAATCTTTGATGGTAGTTATTGTTGATTTGGAGTCGTCTGCCTTTGTTGATGATCCTTTTTCTGATGAGGAGATTGACTGTTGCAGGTCAGTTTGTGCGAGCAATCTTGTTGAAGCGGTTGGTGACGAGGAAGCCGAAGTTTATCCCTACAAACTCAAAGTCAGATATGTGTAGGTACAGGGTAGACGCAGTGCATTTCATGGAGTCGATTTAATGATCTCTAACTACAAGCAATCTCTTTTGTATTGCCATAAAACAGTTCTAAATATACCTACTGCGTTCATTTTCATCTTTTTCACACTCTCGGTTCATCAGGCCATAAATGTCCCCTTCCAAATAAGGTATCTCGGCATTCAGCTCATCTCCACCCATCGACACTTTATCCGCAACAAGCTCCCGCCCTACATGCATTACCCTCTCAAGCCAGAACCTTTCCAGAATTAACCGTAAAAGTGACAACCGGTTACTAATTCCTCCGTTCTACCAACGAGACCCTCGTCTCAAGACCGCATCAAAGGCGGAGTTTCCGCTGCGTGTTTGCTCAGCTTAACCGATTACGTCAGGTCTGCCCCGCGATTTCTGGTCAAAGGTATCGTTCAGAGGCTCTATAAATACATCGACGTGTCCCTAGAGAATAACTGTGTCAAGATCCTAGAATTACTACATATTGCTCTTTGTTCAAAGTATCTTTAGCTACAATGGACACTCCCTTCAAGTGGTCGGCACCGCCTGGTAGTGATATCTGGAAACAGCCTCCTTCTACTGACGTCTTCACCGGTGAGTATCTCAACCCCTCACTCTCAAACGCGCCCTCTCAGTCACCCTTCACGACTAGCCTCACTCACTAACTTCCCCAGCTCCCTTCACCACGCACTCCAAAAACCCTCTTAAGAAGTTCATCTCCGCAACTCTGACCTTCCGCACAAAATACATCCATCAGTATGACCAGGCCTGTCTTCTCCTAGTCTTCACAAACCCCAACTCCCCCACGCCCCGCAAGTGGATCAAGACCGGCATCGAGCTATACAACGATCACCCGCGCTACTCAACCGTGACATGCGATCAATGGGCAGATTGGAGCGTTGAGAAGGTTGGGCCTGAGAATGAAGCTGGTGTAAGGAATGGTGACAAGTGCGTTACTGTAAAGGTGCAGAAGGTGAAGGATGCGCTGGGGCTTTGTATGTGGACGTACAGGGTTGATGAGGATGGTGACAAGACGCCATTGAGGCAGACAAACTGGGTTTATGGTGATAATGGTGGTGAGGGCTGGGATCTAGAGATCGCTGCTGCTGTCGCGAGACCCGATCCCAAGAAAGAGATCAAGGAGGATCTCGAGGTTACGTTTGAGAAGTTTGAGGTCGAGTGGGATGAAACCGCCTAACAACAAACCACATTATCCTTTAAGCAATACA